GAACACTTGCTTAGTATATCGTCGGAATCCTAAAATGGAAATGTTTTTGTGGCCTTTTACTTATGGTTGTGGAAATGTTTTTTCGCATGTATTTACATCGAATCTGGCCCAGTTCCAGTGACAACACAGCGGGGCGCCGTTGGCTCCTCACATCGTAAAAAGGCGGGGAAACGAACTCAAACCATTCACATTGCAGACCAACACACTAACCACTGGACCATCCCATCACATCTGCTAATGGTCATCGCTTTTCGAATTTCCTATCGCGTCGCAAATATGCAGTGTGACATACTGCTCTGAGTTGATGGTCTGTGTTGTCATTAGTCACTGAGAACTCAAACCTGCCGCCGAGTAGAAATTCATTAAATGATTTCGGAGCTACACCATGTCATCATTACCATAATATAACACGCTGAGTCACAGTCAATGTTTTCATTGAAAACAGTTTCTCCAATTTCTGGTATTAACTTCCCAACAACAGCTGCATTATGTCAGGAACATCAGATAGTAATGTACACATCCTCGTTCGACGTGATATCACTCTCTCCGTATCAAATGTTCCACTGGCTAGGCAACCTATCTTATCACTAACTTCGTCTGTTGCCAGCCACGTTCACTCTACACAGAGGGGATGCTATGTTTTTTATGACGACAAGAATTGATAAGCGGCTCACTCATTAAAATTTAATATATGATCCATTGTTTGAACACAATGCAGCTGAATAGGACTCGAAATCCCAATCATTCTTTTTTGATCTGTGATTTCATTTGGTTATTGTTGGATGTATTTAGCTTTATATATGGTCGGTAAGTACACTGCCGTTTGTACATAGCTTTTATACGATAGAGCCGTATAGTTTCACAGTTAAATGTTTAAGGTGGTGACGAGTCATTAAAGTATCGGTACATCTCAATGCGTTTTGCTACGATACGCTTATTGTACAGTAATGGAATATATCGATAATAAACATTCATGTATATGTGAGTAGAACGTGATACATGACATGCATGAACATGACTTGTGAACTACTACAGTTACTGTATGTACAAGAGTTCTTGAGTTGCTGTCAGTTATGTTGAATCCAATGTATGATGGTTAGATCTCAGCCCCTGTGTTGATGGCATAGGACCACAAAACACACATATCGAGTTTTCATGTGTCGATAAGTGTACCGTATCGCAGTCTTTCCATCGGGGTACGTATCGTATCGTATGTATCGTTAAACCCTAACAGTGTGTTTATGGCATTTGTGATTGTCTTTTAAGATTGGCTCACGGATGTAAATGAAACTCCAACCACCTTACAGGTTACACACAAACAACTGTTTTCCCATATACGTAATACTATAAAGTAACGTTAGAATAGCTTTCAAAGGCTATTTTCTGTACGTGTGTGCACAATTTGGCTTTAGAGCAGCAATAAAAACAAAAAAGACTAGCCTAGCCAGCTCCTGTACCGAGGTACAGGAAGCTAAACCAACCCCAATTCCGCACCAAATGTCACTCACTTGAAAATATCTTCGACAGCACTAAATATAGAAAAAACATGGTCAGTTTCAACTACTGGATGGATGTGCATTCAAACATAAAAATGTTTCACAAAATCATCCAACTACAGCAGCCAGATGATTCAATCTGCACTGAAGGCTGATTCTGGTTTGGTGTAGTAGAACCAACATGCTAAGTGTGGTGCGGTAGCCCGATGGCGATTGTCAGGTTTGTGCTGGTTTCTGTGTTCGATGTCCGAACAAACTTGGCTTGCTGATGACGTGGCTGAGACGTTCCTGGCTATTTATTAAACCATGTGAACAAACACGTGTTATTTCAGCACCATGCCGGTGGTCGGTGCTTTCACATAAATGGTAAAAAAAAGTGCTATAACAATTACAGCTTTCAAACCAACTCACTCACTCACTCTAACAGATATTTTGATGAATGTCAGGTTGTGAAGTTGAGTGAGTGAGTGAGTATGGTTTTACGCCGCTTTTAGCAATATTCCAGCAATATCACGGCGGGGGACACCACAAATGGGCTTCACACATTGTACCCATGTCGGGAATCGAACCCGGCGTGACGAGCGAACGCTTTAACCACTAGGCTACCCGGCCGCCCCATTTGTGAAGTGAAAGCCTAAACAACCGAGAAAAGTTCATGACGGCTCCTCTAGTCTGTGATCCAGTAGAACAGATTCACTGGATGACAGCTATGTGATATTATATTCGTATAATTATGCAATAAACCTGTCAAGGATTGGACTGGCAGAAATCATGAATAAGTAAAAGAAATGGAAATCTCAATCTGCCCAATGTGAATATTCGTTATACCCTTACGTGGGTCTCTAAGCCAAATCCTACAAGGAAAGACCATTAGCAAGGCATTTCATCATGGTCTGTCACTTGGAGACATTAGTTTTCTGACGCAGGTTGATTGTCGGCCAGGTGCCTTCGATCGGATAAATGGGTTAGCATTTGACCGCGATGGGAGGTGCAGTCAAGGTTAATTGAAAGCTTTCATTTCTTGTCATCTGGTCGAAGCGTGATGTGTTTCATAAATTAATCCGGATGATGTTTCAGTTCCATCCACTGTATGTGAACTGTATGTACCGTTCAGAAAATTGATTTTGACAAGTCCATCTTTTACCCAATCTTTCGTAATGAAATGTATTTTGTATGCGTTTTTTTGTTGGGGACGATTGTACTGGGTTCGTTGTCGGCCCATTGCGAACTTAATCGGAAGTCTTTGGGTGAAAGGATTTCTCTACGGGGGCGGATTTAATCTCAGCGTATTAACGAAAAAGTGTGCAAAATATAGATGGAATCAGCTTTATGAATTCTCTTTTTCTGTTGTATTTCTTAATATGCCCGAAAAGCAATTTGCCTAAGGGTTGTCGGTACATGTGATATATGTGTGTAGGAAGGAAATCTACAGTAAGCAGAAAGATAATACTCGAGTTGTTTGGGTTGTATCTTATATAACTCTTAAAGAGGTGTTCTATCCAAGTGCATTCAATATTATACTATAATACATTTGTATTTGAATACTGCATGTCATACCTGTACTTTCGGTATATCATGAGACAAACTGTGGGCCAATGAGGTCCACCATACCTAACCTACCGCTTCACCAGCCACAGGGCTGGATTTCATGGACACTATTCTAATACGAGTGTCATCTCTGCAGGCACTAGCTTGTCATTACTTGTTCTGTACATACACGTTGAAAGAATCTGAACTTTGAAATTGTCTTACGTTCTGCACACATGTTTGCGTTGATCAATTGTTTTCGTCAATAATTTCGTGTTCATATATCTGATTCAGACTTTGTGCCTTCCGACATTGCGCCATTCTGTTTCCTGAATGTGAGGTGTTACTTATCGGGGGATCAGACTCGCTGACTTGGGAGATGCATGTCATCGTATTCAAATAGCGTAGATTGTCTGGTCCATACTCGATTATTTACAGACCGCCGTTGCATAGCTGGAATATTACTAAGTGTGGCGTTCAACAACAAACAAACGAAAACTCTTTCGGCAGATAATCGAGACTGATTATTCTCTTGCGTTGACGTTTTATATTTACCAATGTAACGAAGGATATACTTTTAAATACTTTCAAACAGCTATTTATAGGATTGCCATGCACGTCAGCTCTCCTGTACCGACAGCACCGATTCATTATGCCTAAGAACAATCCTCACATATAGGTATCTCATGAACACAGCACAAAGGAGCAGTTGTTGTAATGTAGGATCTTGGAAGTTGTGGGCAATACTGAAGATAGGCAGTGACACTAATTACCCTGAATGGTTCGGAAGAGCGAATTTATCATTTGAAGAAGACGTAACACTTGCTTACACGATGTCTGGCACGTGGTTTCAAGGTCGTGCTTGCCTCTTAGGTACATTATCAAAGTGTATTCCCAGTGTAATCTACAGACTGACACAACTTTTGATTTAATGTGGCTTGGTGAACAGGGGTATTTATTGGTTGAAAGGATTACAAATGCTTATCAAACGAAGAACGACATCCGCCCACGATAAGGAATACATATTTATTAATACAAATGAAAATAGACCGTAATTCTAACGTAGAGCTGAGCGGATGAACATGACTTACAGAAATGAGCGCACCGCCTGATGTTTATTGAGGACAACAGGTGTATATTTTTTAGATACGAGTTCCTCGTTGGCCAGATGCTTCGTCTGCCAGTGGTGGATATTTTATTAACATGTACTTGTTCCAAAAATGATATATGAATAACATAAGAATATTTTGTCCTGAGGTTTATAAATAAATAAATGTTTGCTGGACCTTCTTGATATCCTGAAACAAATGTGTTCGACTGTTCATTGTACAGTAAAATATGGGTGCTTTGAAGTAGTGACCTAAAATATATACCTGCTTCTAACTAAAATCCGATCCCCACCTCGAATATGAAATGGTTGATCCCTAATGGTATTCATATCATTAAACTTTGGGTCAAAATGAATCCTCTGTTTAAGGAGAAACGCGGATCGGTGGACACAATGGCGACATGGTACGCTAGTACGTTCACTGATGACCATCTGTAAAGAACAATTTCAGCCATGACCTGGTTGATTTACAGTAAACAACGTTTATGACGAACACGCTTATAACGAACTGATCGATAGAACGAACTTAGTTTTTAGTCCCGGCCATTTGTTGTGTATATGCTGTATATATGCTTATAACGAACTACGGTTATTACGAACTAAAATTAGTGGTCCCTTTGAGTTCGTTATAACCGTAGTTTACTGTACTTCAGAATATCTCGTTCATCACAGATTCACACACGATCTACAAGTTTACGCCAATACTAAAGGATTTAACACACATTAACCATAGAAAACATTAGTATTTCTTGACGGTAGGTTATTCTATAAGTAGGCGTATGGTTGAGTGTGGTAGCTATACATACATGTAGTAGAGTCAGCACCAATCCATTTGCATTCCATTTACCAACACCGTTATCTGCTTTCAGTTCTCGGGAGTTAATAAAGCAGGCAATCCTGGACAATGATTTCATGAAGAATCTGGAGATGTCCCAGATCCGGGAGATCGTGGACTGCATGTATCCAGTGGAATACTCCAAGGACAGCACTATTATCAAGGAGGGCGACATGGGCAATCTCGTATATGTCATGGAAGGTAGGCCATAACCTAAGGTTTCAGCTTGTTCTGTTACGTATATATTAAAATTTAAAATGAAAAGTTCATAAATTCAATAACATTTGTTCATTATTCTTCTATTTACTTATTAACTTACCACAAGACCGCTGAATGTTTGTCTCACTGTCATACATAGTGTAACATGTTGTACTGATGTCGGGGGCTGTATTATAGATGTCATGCAGGAGCGCTTCCTGATACCTTTAACTTGTGTCTGATATATAAAGCAGCGATAAGCTGTTGCAATAGTTACAAATTTACATAATAAATGGTATGTTAAGCTTGCATTTTTGTGGAACGTTTACGCTTTACATTGAAACTACGTTGATATGTTGTTCTGTCTAAGACATTACATTCCATCACATGCAGACCTCTGTTCAGTGAACATGCACAAATCGTGCTGAAGCATTTCTCCAACTGGTAGAGCTGCATGACCCTCACGCAGCATGATACTGTTCTATCTTGCCTATCTCAGCCGTATAATCACTTCCCAATTGCCCCTGTATATGATAACGACCTTCCGACATACCTGGCAAGCCAGTTAACATTCCCTGTATTAAGGAACGCTCGCACAAAACAACCATCACCTTTTGCTCCCTACTGACGCCAATAGCCATCATGGTCAGACTGATGAGCCGTGGTGCTAGACCATCATATTACACCAAATGGTTCTCGGCCAACCTCCACGTGGTGCCTAATGCCTCTAGCACATCATTGTAACAAGTGAGAATGTTTTTAGTGCGTACTACGCCACCTTTATATGGGATGGAATGGGATTCATCAATAGCAGATACGGATGGGTGACAGTGCAGTGTGTGTGTTTACCGATGCGCGCTTAAATATGTGTGTGTATTCATTCCAAATACATCAATGAATGTTCACTACATGTTAACGGTGAACATTTACGTGTTATAGGGACAGGAAAAACAATGATAGGTAGATATGCAATTAATCGCAGACAAAATGTTATTTGTACCCTTATGACCATAAATACAGATTACAAGTCTACATGATTTACCATTGTGTATACGTTCAGTACAAAAGAAGGGAAAATATGTCGACTTTCTACCTCGAGTACATTTAGAGTTGGTATCGACGCTTCAGGTAGTCACCGGGCATTGTACATTCTGGTCCTTTCTTTGAGTTCATTTCCTCTCCCGGGGCGGTCGGGTAGCCTAGCCGTGATATTGCTGGAATATTGCTAAAAGCGGCTTAAAGCCATACTCACTCACTCAGTCACTCACTCACTCACTCACTCACTCACTCACTCATTTCCTCTCCAATTTACCCTGACTCTAGAAATCAATCTGAGTAAGGCAAACACTTCCTATTAACACTACAGGTAGCAGCAACACATAACACTGGATTATGTACGTGCACATGGGGCTAGTTCAAAGGATAGAGACTCTTTTAATGTACCAAATGCTGATGACAAGCAAAACCGCTTCTCTCATTTTCCACCTGTGTTAATCAAGCAGACCATCCCATAAAACTTAGGAATTCATCTTCTTTACAAATCGCTGCCACATTTTAAAACCGTTCTTACGTCACTGTTTAAACAGTTACGCATTTCAAAGGCTTGCAGACGCCCATTTACTATTAATATCGTCCTTTGCTTAGAACCTGAATTGTTGTGCAAAGTCAATTTACACCCCTTGAGGGTGTCGGCTGGATTTAATATGGCAAAGTGAGTTTTCATATCCGTCAAGTGAAGGCGAATTAGCAGAATATCGCATCAGTGCTTCTCAAAGCATGTGGGTAATTAAGACGCAGAATATGAAACATGTGTATATGTATTCGTGTAAACGCTTTCTAAGCGTTGAACCCTTTCGTTGCGATAAATCCTTGTCTTCTTAAAGTCTCATGTTTTGCAATTTAACAACGAATATACATTATGATGCAGGGTAAGAAACAGTTTTATATTTGCCAATCAAATACATATTCTAATCGGATGCATCTATGGCACCTCAGTCACAGAATTTCCGTCATATGAATATTTCTGCGAATCCATATGTCTGCATTGGAAGAAGGATGCTCTGTTCGCATTAACAATGCTGTGAATGTAGTCGCGCTGAAGCCACGTTCGCTCAGTTTGTAAATTCTGATTGATAATTCTGCCTTTACTCATTTGTCGATACTTTGTAATGTTCTTTTGAACAAATGAAGATCTCTCATTATCGGGAAGAACTTATGGAATCTAGGACTTCAGCTCTTTGAATGTCGGATTGTCGGTTCTTCAGCCAGGAGATAATAAACAGTTGGTTTGTGCTCGGTTAAAGACCCTGGGCATCAAAGGCACAGGGAATCTGCGTGATCTGGTATGCCGATTTGTTAGGGATTAGTCACACGATCAGAAGGAATGAAAATGTTCAACTTACCTGCACGCAGCTTTACGCTTTGAGGCGTTTATGTCAGACGGAAATGGTTGTCGTTTTGTAAATTGGCAAGTCGGGCAAGAACAATGATGATGAGCAGACATCAGGATATTATGGATAGATATATAGAAAAGTCACCCAACCGTCAATTATACATAAGCCATTGATGTCACAACAGGGATATAAACAATATAAATGTGGATGTGTGTTGAGAGGGGGGGAGGGTGCGTGTGTGTGTGTTTGGTGTGTGTGTGTTTGGTGTGTGTGTGTGTGTGTGTGTGTGTGTGTGTGTGTGTGTGTGTGTGTGTGTGGTATAGTACAGATTCTAGTATTGGGGGGGGGGGCATTTGAACCCACACTCCCAAATCCCAAATATAACATTGTTACAACTGACCACTTTATAATATGGTATTGTTTATTCATCATCATCAATATTATTTTTTCTCTATATATTCGCATCTCTGTGTGGGTGGGTGGGTGGGTGATACAGCTGACTGGTGGTAATAATAACCATAAACAGAATTCTGGTCGTAGTAAGCGACTACATGGACTGGGTGGTCTGACTCGGCGATTTGGTTGATAGGGTGTCATACCCTGTCGTCGTGTGTCGTTGTTCACAATATCAGTCACTGAATAGCCTGGTCACGATAATTTACACACATGGCTCCATCTTATAGTTGCAATATTGATGGGGTAGCGCTTAACAGCGAAAAGGCAAACAACAACGTAATGTAATATTACAATGAACATTTTGCCCACGTTTTCATCTCAACTATGGCTGCATTGTCTCCTGTGCTTTAGGCTAGCAGATACGTTAAAAGTTGCTCAGAAACCATGGGTCGCGCACATATGCAGTAGCAGTTCATATCAGTAGTCGGTTCGCATTCGAAATCTTAACCTCGTTATGTGAATTGCATTGTGATTAATCTTGTTCCAGATGGCAAGGTGGAGGTATCCAAAGAAGGACAGAAACTATGCACAATGGTACCGGGGAAAGTGTTTGGAGAGCTGGCCATTCTGTACAACTGTACACGGACAGCCACAGTTAAAGGTATGCTATCGCTATTTCTCCATATTCTCACCAACCTGAAGACTGAATCATCACAACGCACCGGATTGTTCCTTAGTTTGAAACCGACTAATTAGCGCATAATTCCAGGTTTAGGTTTCTGTGTCTCAGTCTTATTTTGCTGAATATACTCATGCTCATAATTACTGTCACCCCCTCGGTATATGTGTTAGTATAGCGGTGACTATGATTATAAGCATGGGTATATGTTATGCCATTTATCAACGCCCCATATTTTCTTAACGCCCCATATATTCATGCATAGGTGTTCGGAGAATAGATCCCACGGCCATTCAGGGTCGGAAGATGTCGTAGTAGAACACATGTTTGTTGTAAGCGGCTACTAAAATGAAGATCTTGAGACACATGCACAAAGCGATCTTAGCGCTAAAGTCGGCAACTCCCATACTCAACAATGACTGAGACCGGCGCAGCGCTAAGGTCGCTTTGTGCACGTGGATAGGGGTGGCAACGATGGAGAACTTGAATCAGTGATAACCGGATGGTGACAGCAGGGAGGACCTGCTCTTGCTGGTGATGTGCAAGATGACCTGCTCTTGCTGGTGAGGTGCAAGATGACCTGCTCTTGCTGGTGAGGTGCAAGATGACCTGCTCTTGCTGGTGATGTGCAAGATGACCTGCTCTTGCTGGTGATGTGCAAGCACGGAGTGTTGTTCACACAACACCACTGAAAAGAGTATCAAAATGTGATTGTTAATAATTACTTTGTGGGCGTTATGAAATTGCAATTGGTATTAACTGTGAGTATGCTCCTATCTTGGAATGCACAGACGTACAGTACCAGTTGCACCCGGAACCAAACATATTTCAACTGTCCCCAGAAACAGTTATGATTTTTCTATTGTTGAGAAATTAATGTTGTGCCAAATATAGAATATGTAACTTGGGTGATTGTGAACAGAATCAGCATTAAGATATGATTTCTATTTTCTGACAAAGACGTGAGATCTATAATAAATTAGGCTTTTTCATAATTTGGAAACGATGCTGTAACCAATATATGCAGATGATCCTGTATTAACTTACATAATATATAACACAGAAAATTGTTGCATCGATGTGATACCTAAATACTGTATTGAGCTTTCAGGTTTCAAACTCAATACTTTCTAATGACAATATCACAATTAAGTATCAAATACGATCAGTCTCCGTATGTCATCCAGACATTGATCAGCCTAATACTGCGCAGGTTAAATTCGATACCTGTACAGTGGTTTGTAGTGCTGTATGTTGGAACGTGTAGCAATACCGTCAATACAGACGCCACTGTATTGGTAATGTATCTCGCTGTGTCGTGCTTCTCCGATATTATCCGACACCGACTTTCTTTTATGTACAAGATGACCATCACCTGACCTCTGTAAACATTCTTGCATGACCAGTAGCCATTTTCACAGCTACAGAGCATATCTGTCTTGCTTAATTAAGCCAAACATGATTTAATAACTCCAAGCTACAATGAGTATGAAGCGCGGCGAAATGCGAGGCCGGAAATCTGTGTAAGATCTGTGTTCGTGGATTATGGTTGAATGATTTATCTATTTTGCAAAACGCGAGGACAGATTATTTTATTTAGCATCCCCCCAGAAATATCAAATAGTCGGCCCCTAATTAGCTCATCATACTCGCCATGACATCGATATCAATAGAATCTACGAAAAAGCTCTGTGCCTCGTCGATTAATCAATTAAGCTAAACTGGAGATGGAGAGTTCATATTGTAATGAGATAGCCGCAGTGGCCTTTGGCGGAACAGTGTCATTTGCAGGTCTTATAAGGGATTTTTGAAATCCGTATTATTGCAGAATCAATATAGCTTACGATTTACCTATGTAAAACACGCTGAACTTCGTTGTCCCTTTACAGGAATTTAATTCAGTATTTAATGGTGTCCATTTGGAATGAATACCGACACGCCCAAGCGTTCTTGACTAACACCGATGATAAACATACATGACTTGAGAATGACAAACTATTAGTTTATCATCATTATTTCCAAAACCTTATCTTAAATTTTAGTTTTAGAGTCGTGCATCCCTCCTGTACAAAATCAGCATGCTCTGTACGCAAATATGCCAGTCAGCTGGATTACTGACACATTCAAATGATAATAGAAGCCAAATTCCAAATCCCGAACGGTCAGACGTTAACGTTAATGCGGCTCAACGTCTTATCGGAGAGTCATTCTGAGTTTACTGTGTATTATCCCCTAACAGAGGACAAATGTAACAAGAATTGATCTGACCAAGTTCAGGCAGTGAGTTACTCCGAATCCATCTCGTTAGGACTCACTTAGAGGAAATGTAATTGTTTTCTACTATTGATATCTTTCGCAATAAGGTTTATGTCGAAGAATTTAGGGCATAAACATCCATTTGACGGAAATACTATTAGGCGTATACTCCGTTGGCAAATGGACGATCGTATTGTTCGTTAATTACTTTATGCGGTTATGCATTCATTTGGAAAGCCAGTCTCATAATACATTTGCGCTCTCTCGGGACATATAGGGACAATACATGTTGAACAAGTTTGAGAATAAAATCAAAGTGACCAATAATTCAATAAGCATAAGAAATATCTACTAAAAGCCATTATACGTTTCCAATATTATGCGCACGTGTTTATGAATCACTATTACTTTGTGGTGATATCAGGTGTTCGCGAAAAGGTGAGCATTTCCTGCCCCATCGATGTCACAAACACATGCAAGGACAAGCCAATTGTTCACCTCGAAAAACAACAACATGGAAACATATGGTACAAGTCAAAGTCGCGCATCATTTGTGTCATTGATGGGTCAAATCTAGAAATGCCCTCCACATGTCTAAAACGTTTTAAAAGCTTTACTAAAGCCTTGAATGTTGCAAAGAGGTGCACCCATGGTCTTCAAAATAGTCCAGTCAGACCAAGACCATGATGTTTCATGACTATGACCCCTTTCGTCAAATAGAATATGTCACTGGGATTAAATAGTAAGTATCGGTCCACCGGAACTGTAAATAGTTGGGTTCTTACATTCATGTTCGGATTATGTGATGTACTGTTTGTTCACTTAGCACCAGATGATTATGTTGACATAACACGGTCTGTTCGACGTCGTGACGTGGGCTAATGTTTGTGTTGCTAAAAACAAGTGTATGACTTGATTTAAGCCCGTGTCTACTGTATCGTTCCTCTTATCATTCAGTTGTCGGCAGATCAGTGGTGTGATTCTGCTCCAGATATATTCAACAAACCCGTGGATACCGATATGTTTCCATCAAGTACAGGCCCCAGGCCCCTGATCAATCGTATACTTCATCCACTGATGACGTGTATGGTGTTAACAGTGCCAGATTACGTTGACGAATTTGAAATATATCTTCTGTGTGTACATTTAGTACGTTTGCGTGACGCTGTATTATGATGCGATTGTGTTGCTATTGATATATATATAATCATATTATTTAATCAATTGAGTCGGTACTATGTGAAAGTACTCGTTTAAACCTTTCTTATTTTTAATTTTTAATTAACGAATATATATATATATACTGACTTAATTATATACTAAATGTCGATGAGCTATTGATACATGTATAACTTCATTAATAAGATTAAAAAAATATTAAGCGAGTACTTTCACCTTGTGCTGACTAAAGTATATGCTAAATTTAGATCATATGATAATAGAAACATTTCAAATCAATTTTGTCGAATAGCTCACAAGATAGAAGTCGCGACGCAGCATTGTATGTGAAATATCCAGTAAAAGAAGACAAAGTTAGACAGCCTCATTCGAATAAGCGTTTCGTCGCTGTGTAAGCTATTACATCGGGCTGCAGAGGCTGACAGTGTGTGATAATTATGGACAAGACATCAACTAACATAATCCCATAAACTGGGTTTCGCAATAAGGCCATACACATCATTACCTTAAAATAACTCTCTTCTGATATCATATGTGTGTGACATATTTTCAGGCCTGTGTAATAAATAAGTAACATATGACTACGTAACGTTAATCTCGGAAAGAATATAAAGTATGAAATGCATTCAAAGACAATTTATCATTGCCTCTCGACATGTCAGCATTTGTGTAATAAACACGGAATCCACATACTTCATCACAGCAGTTTTCCCATGGTTGTCAGTGACAGTAATATGGGAAACCTAACTACACCAGCGGCTGCTGTGAAGGACAATGTAATATTATCTGTAATAAATGGCTGAATACACAGACTCTAGATGGCGAAACCACCGGTGTACGACGGTCACCTTGTCTCAGGCCCCTATTACGAAAGAGTATTTGCAATCCATACCACCGCAATGTTTATAAAATGTGGTTTTCATTTGTCTCTGTATTAAAACATATCATACGCGCGGATTACATATAATCATGAATGTAATGAACATTATTATTATTATAATAAATTGTACATTTATATTCCGCACTAATCCAGATACTAGTATCTGCTCAAATCACATTTTTTTCCCCGACCAGTGGCTCCGTTTGCATTCCAGTTATCATTCTGAACTCCCTGGGGAGTATTCAACCCAAGCTGTCTGCGGTAGCTAGAGTGTTATTTACATGCACCTCGCATATCAGGTACCCATTCCCTGCTGGGTGAACATAAGCACATGTTAACTAAGTCGCTAGCCCACACGTTTTGACACTTATGTTTCGGATGTGTGAAACGCGCTGTGGTTAAAATACGATGTATTGCACCCAAAATTGTTTTCTAGACAAATTTATTATGGTCGATTGTATTGACATGCTTATGGTTCGACTTGACGACTTTTTACACGTATATAATATATATGTGTGGTTACTCTGACTGACGTTGTTTGATCAAGGTTATAACATTCAAGGCATCAGTAAAGCGGTCAAAAAGTTTATGGTAGACAAGTGGAGGACATTTCCAAATTGGACGCCTCAGTGACAAAAATGATGTCCGATGCAATTCTCTGTTTTGACTTGTGCCATATGTCCCCGTGTTTTTTTTTACAGAACAATTGACTTGCCTTTGTATGTGTTTGTGACGGTGCCGCCGGTGGGGCAGGATACGCTAACCTTTTCGCAAACACCTGGTATCATCATTATTTGAAAGTGATTCACTAAAACATGCTCATGATGTAGTCGGATTTGTAAAATCGTCCCTGTTTTTTTTACATTTTTTAGATTTCTTATAATATCGGAAAGGGTTTTATCTCCTCTATTCTTATGTGCACATTTACACTGCAATATACAAACATATGTTTGGTATGTCGATGAGCGGCATCAACTGAACTCAATTTAGCAGTGGCACAAAATATGTACCATTCGGAGGCATACTTGAAGCCCACGTGGTAACTCCGTATTTTAATGTTTTGGAGCAATAATTCTTTCTTCTCTCTAATTAAGTCTCAACCCCGGCATCGTATTTCTTATTAGACGCATAAATCACGAGAGTCGGACAGGTGCAACAGGGTTGATTAAAGGGAAGCATTGGCTTAAAAACGAAAGGTAGTATCGATGTGTTCCGTTAAAATACCATTGCCCTTCTTAATTGACACCATAGAACTTGTACGTGCATTATGGTGGAGGATCCACATTGAACAATCACTCAATTCAGTATACATAAAGATGGAAACTGCTTCTTGACAGTAGAACACATGCTTATACGTCTTCCAACTTGGACCTGATATTATTCATGACACGACATTTCGTGACTTGTGATAACAGTGTCAAAGTTCTCCGTGCAGTTTATTTGTTGTTTAACGCGGCACTCGGTAATATACCAGTTATATGACGTCGGTCTGTAAATAATCGAAGCTGGATCAGACAATCAAGTGATTGACATAATGAGCATCGATCTACGAAATTGGGATACGCGCACATTCATCAACCAAGTCAGCGAGCCTGACCACTCGATCCCGTTAGTCGCCTCTAACGACAAGCATAGTCGCCTTTAACGACAAGATGGTTGCTGAAGACCTAATCTACCCCGGATCTTCTCGGGTACCGTGCAATTTATGTCAATTTATGATTTATATCTTGTATTTCAGCCCTATACAACTGTCGACTATGGGCGATAGACAGAGCATGTTTCCAGAGTATTATGATGAAGACGGGTCTCTTACGACACTCGGAACATATGGACTTCTTGAGGAGGTACGTGGTGGTCTTTGCAATCCTGTACAATTGTTTTCGAACATGATATTCTTGTTCGTGGTTAATTATCAATCGGAGATTGTCAACAACATGCCTATTATAACTTTACCAACTGCTTAAACTAACACGAGTATGTAGCTCGCACGTTGCTTTTAAACATGATACAGGCTATAATTGTGAGGAGAAGTATGATATTTAACATACCCAAGGAAAAGACCTGATCTAGCCATGTTGACTTCGTGATGGATTATAAAGATTAGGAACTTTATCCTGGAAAAGATGCGAAGCCGACAAAAAAATAAACATCAAACGCATTCTAGTTCAGCTGGCACCATTTTTCCAAATTCGGATTTTATATTGCAAAATATCAGAAGAATTTGACGTCTAATTATCAAAGAAAAGCAATGCACTCGCACATTTTGTGAAAATAAGGCCTGAGTCATAACAAGACTCCTCTTTCATTACCTGTGCAATTAAGGTAAGTGAGTGAATATGAGGCTCGTGATTTCGGCTTTAATTCGCCATGGATTAAGTGATGAGACTTCCCGCTGGGAACATGTGTCTAGAAAATAATTCTGTTTACTCTGAAGGATACAGAGTTCCGAGCATATATAGTTTACACGCTTTCAGCGCCTCATAACATATGCTTAAATAGTTTCGCAGCTTCGTTACATTTAATAGTTATGGCTAAATACGTACAAGTGTGCTTACCATAAACCTATATGTAATATACACATATGTAGGCGTTATGTATGTATGCATCATTGGCATACACGATACGGTATTGTCTGATATAAGAGTATTTTATTAACTGTGATTTATGTTACCATCACTTTTCTACTAATGAAAATGAACTCAAATATCATAATGAGTACAGATGCATTAATAACCATAAACATACTAAATATAGTCCAAGAGTTCTTATATCAATACCGAGTTTTTCTGTTAGACATTTTCTTGAAGATTGCACTTTGAGATGTTTTTCTCTCGAGTGTTTGATTGGCATTACATATTGTCATATTCTGTAAACAACGTTTGTAACGAACACGCTTACAACGAAATGACGGATATAACGAACTATTTCTTCGTCCCGTCCATTTGCTGTATATATGTTGTACATATGCTTATAATGAACTACGGTTATAACGAATTACAATTAGCGGTCCCTTTGAGTTCGTTATTACTGTAGTTTACTGTATATATATATTATTGTTCCATTTGAACAAAAACGGTTTGTAATCCGGTTCCAATCAACATGGTTCAACTGGTGTTTCTTATGCTTTGTTTCCTTTGAAGTTGTAACCTGTGTGGGCAACTTGTATTTCTCAGGATGTCTAATTATCAGCGTTATTACGGCCACTCTCAGGCATAAAAGCTAATTAATTCATGTTTCATCTTTCATCTTTATCTACTGCAATATTTTCAAGCAAAACTCTTCTTTTTGCAATGAAACGAAACATGTAATATAAAAATCACAACATTTTGCTTGGGTGGGTTTAGAAAAGTGAAGATTAACACATGCTTTGAACGTCAGGCTCTTACATCTCAACTGTTAAACACTTAACAACAAACAATGTACAGACTCCGGATGTAGAAAGGCCACAAAGAAAATTGGTTTGCATTAATCAAACTTCCTGAAGATGTTTATTTGCATTGCAAGACACTTTCTTTTCATTTCACTTAGTTTCGAACTTTTGATCTTCCCTTGAATTTTCTTCAGGTGATGTTATTCTGGTAGGGGGATGGTATTTTGAAAGAAAGTTTAATCAAATCGTACCTATGACGCCATCTGTTTTTTCCATTCTTCATTGCTCTTCTTTGATTATAGTGTTCCTGCGGTGCGGGGGGCTGGTGCGGAACATGTTCCCCTTTCTTTGACATATTTATGGAGTTCTTATCTGTTTATTTATTTACTTTCAGTGTACCTACGTTTAAAGGCCTTCCAGAGGAAACGCTTAGTAAAATTGCTGATGTATTAGAAGAGGTAGGTTCATTCATGAAATAAGAATTTGTAGTGAAGCTAAGGAGGCTTGGCCCTGCGGTTTAAATAGGAATTACTCAGTCAGTCGTTCTGTAATGGAGGACGAGCTTTAGCGAATGACGATATAGAAAGTTAACATGATCTTCTATGCCATGCTCTGCTGAAGCTGAACGTGTGACTTTATTATCTTATATAGTAATGTTGTAATGAGTTGATAGTTTCACGAGTTTATAAGTAGATATGATATACATAGTATCTTTCATAATCATCTTCGACGTTTAAATAATTTTTCTTTATAACATGTAATCTTTTTGTGATGTATGTTTCATGGACGCTACCCAACATGTACACACATACATGCAGATTTAGATGGTGGACGCTTCTGTTATAGTCTGTGTGTTCTTATAACATTAACAAAAACAAATGCATTTCTTTCTCTCTTACCAGGCCCATTACGGTCAGGGGGATTTCATTATCAGACAAGGTGCAAGAGGGGACACATTTTTCATCATTGCAAGGGGAAAGGTAAGATATTTTAAGGAATTTAACACCACGAATAAAGTTCATATAAAACCCTTAATATGTACAGCTAAACAAATGAACGATTTCTGTTCGTGTCTGCTCGCTTCAATTTTCATATTTCGTAATTCCTTCCAATTATCCTACAGGTGAAAGTTACCAAAAAGAACTCTAAAGCGGGTTCTGAGCAAATCATTAGGTATTTACAAAGGGGAGACTTCTTCGGCGAGAGAGCATTACAAGGGTAAGATAAGAAGTTTAACAGTTGGTTTTAAACTGTTTATTGAAAAGATTATCTATCAAGATGGATGACAATGTTATGGCAATGAAACTGTGATCTATTTAATTCCACTGTGCATGCAAAAGTTACTTGTTTCTTCATGTTTATCATTAATTCCAATTAATATCAATTGTAATAAAAGCATAATAGAATTATTTCGACACTTTTATAAAGATGATAATTCTTTGCACGATGTTTAAGACAAAAAAGTTCTTCAGAATAGTATGCCACTGATGGAGCAAGATACGCCCACCTTTGCAGACACCTGGTATCATCGATATTTGATGGTGGTTCAAAAACACATGCTCATGATATGGTCGGAATCGAAAAATCGAATCAGCTTTTTGCCGACATTTCTTATGAATATGGAAAGGGTTTTGTCATCCTCTTTTCATCCTTATTGCTGTGAAATTGTTAAAGAGAAATCTATTATTACACATGTATAATCCGTCAGTGCACATGTAGTCACGAAAATGGTTTCTCATTCATTTATAGGGGTCGTGACAAGTATATAAGAGAGATCAATATTACTAATGATGTGTTCAATACATATTTTGAGCAAATCCTTTTGATTACGAAAACGATGTGTTGAAAAATATTAATTAATATTCATATCTATACAAATTGCAAAATAAATAAACCAAAAGTAGCTCAGGGTTATATATTTTATTATATAAATATCTTGTATACGTGACAAAGTTGACATATATTAATTGATGTTTTCATCGTCTGGAGAGTAGCCTATAAATATCTACTGTAAACTGCAACCAGTCAGCCGATCAATAGTTTCTTCAGAAAAGTCACAATGCGAAAGGTAAAAAAAAATTCTATCTTTATCCAAATCTGTTTTCCTTGCAGCGAAGACGTCCGCACCGCCAATATTATAGCCAATGATCCAGAAGGCGTGGATTGTTTAGTCATCGACAGGGAGTATGTATTTATTTCTTAAATAATTGATATCAATATGTTACGATAAGATAATGTTATGTCATGTTATGCTATTTTATGTTCTTAAGTTATGTTATCTTATGTTCTGTTATGCACTTAGATCATTATAAATCTTATTAATATCGCGTCACTGGATCGCCCATGAATACCTATAGAAATAAACTGGGGGGGAAATGTTTCTTGAAGCATGATTCCCATCTTGTGAACATTGATTTACGCAGGCTGTCAAAGTGATACTTACATCTATATTCGGTCATTCAGTTTCTTCTGGGTATATATGGCACGTGTTGTGTTTAGTCATGCTTGGTGTATAGATCATTCCAAATACAAGTACTCTTGAAGTACTATTCTTGAAGTATCGTTCGGTCCCTTCGTTTATATAACGTCATATTATTGGACATGTTCGATAACAAGAGATAAGGATTCATAATCACATGCTTATGACGTACAATGGATTTTTCATGGTTATGGTAAGTGTTTTGTCGGGGGTTTTACGCCAGACCAAGCCATGCAAGTTTATGGATTTTTCAACTTACACATTTTATTTCAGGTCCTATTCACAACTCATTAGCAATTTAGATGAACTCAAGAGAATTTATGAAGATGATGAAATATCGGCTGGGTGAGTATACACATGGTTACATATATGTTTAGACCCAGAGTATCGCGAGCGTGTGTGAGGTAAAGGTAGTAGCATATGCGTATTAAAACAGAGGCACATGCAAAACTTTGTAGACATTATAGATGAAAATTAAATTATAGTTGTGTTATTCTAGTAGTTAGAAGACATGTGCCAATATAGTACTTGTGAATTCACTGGGCATGTTATATGTGCGATGCATCGATGTGTGTAACGTTTGTTTGTTTGTTTGTTGTTTAACGCCGCATTCAGCAATATTCCAGCTATATGGCGGCGGTCTGTAAACAATCGAGTCTGGACCAGACAATCGAGTGATTGGCATCATGAGCTTCGATCAACGCAATTGGGATACGATAGCATGCATAATTGGGATACGATACCAAGTCAGCGAGGCTGACCTCCCGATCCCGTTTGTTGCCTATTATGACAAGCACAGACGACTTTTACGGCAAGCATGGATTCCTGAAGACCAATTCTACCCCGCATCTTTTCTGAGTATGATGGCTGGAACAGGGACACTAACGATCGATAGTGAGAACATACGTCGGGTCACACTGACACACGTGATTCTTGCCTTGGAGTCATTCTTTTTCTCGCAGACTTATTTTTGATAATGGATATGTTTTTGTCTCATTTATGATTATAGAACAACACTATGCAACATGTAAAGACAGGTTAATGCAATAGAGTCCCTTAAAAGTGATATTTAAAAATAAACAGAATTATCTGTATATACACCTCTCCCAAATACTGAATGTCTACTCTGTGTGTAGCAGTTTACGAGCATGACAGTTTCTAGCCAAGAAAATCCAAATATTTAGTCTGTAATCAAGGTCATCTAAATACATGCTAGCATCTTGAGGAAGTACATAAGGCCACTCTGTTCTACTATAACAGGACATAGTAAGGTTCTTTATTATTTGTATATCTGTTTACTTCCTCTGATTAAATCGTCTAGTAGGTCTGCTGTAACATGATAAGTCTAGATCGGCCTGTCCGCACCCCTGCGGAAACAAAGAACAAAGTGTTTGCCAGCGATACCACCCTTGGTTATGTCAAGATATGCCGACCACGATAGCATCTTTATGACAGCGAGAGGTTATTGTACTTGAAGTTCATCAAGCATTATAATGGTTATTCTGCATGGCATGTTTTAAATGAGCTTGAAACAATGACGGGTTGTACTTGTATGATAACTAGTTTCAATATGTAGCATGGCAGATTTGAAATCACCATCGTTTGTTATTTTGCAACACTACAAGATAACAGTTGAGAAGTTAAGGATTTAAGCTGTCGGTGAAGAACATGGTTATGTGTTGCCGCCAAAGTTCTAGAATACTGTTCAAGCGGCGTTAAACCCAATTCACTCACTCACTGGCATTAGGAACGGACCATTTGATATTCGGGAGCTGGAGCCTGGGGTTTTGTCTGGAGATGTAACTAGATATTCTTTTATAAAATAAAACTATGAGCCTGAATATTTTTTTAAGAAAACACCTTGCATTGATGTAATTGTTGTTTCTTTTTTTTTGCAACAGTCGGTAACATTTTTCTTTTTTCCAAGTATTTATTTGTTTGATAAAATTCTTGCTGATATATGAGAATATTGTTGAACATTATTGTGAAGATACATATGATGTTCCTGCGGTTGTCAGTAATACAATCGTTTCGTTTGCTAGATGTTCCTCGAAGGTTTCCTTGTTTGCTGACTTATTAGTTTATTGGATACGTTTCCAAGTAATATTCTGATTGCTTACTCATCTTCATTATTTACCATGTTGTCGATCATCCGTCTACAAATCAGAAATTGTAAATTGGCATAAATATGTATTGTGAATTTAATTGTAAAACGTTGTTTTTTTTCAGAATTGACTCAGAATACACCAAATTGAAACTCAAAGATCTCTCAGTGATAGCGACGTTAGGCGTCGGTGGATTCGGGCGTGTTGAACTGGTAAGGTCCTCCTTATTTCTCCAGTAATAAGATGCCAGTTCCATCATCCTATCTGACTCACCGCACTCGCCTATAGTCTGTGTGTACTGGCGTCAGCCTTGCATGCAACCATCCAATTGCAACGCCCTTGAAGGAATAGCAGTTAGAAGTTTGCTCAAATTTCAGTTTTGTAATGTGTTTTACGACATTTTGTCTGAAACATAACATTTTATTATTCAATTCAAGAAAAGAAGAAAACGAACCCCGAGCTTATTTGAAGTGGCTAAAAAGACTTTGTCATACGCCTGAGTGGCAATTGTTCATGATAACCGTTGCCTTGTTGTAGGATTGGTTTATATATTGATGTTAATCATCGACTATTATTTTTGATGATTCATATCTATTCGTTAATGTACTTACATCACTAACGTTTTCGAGTTTGAAGGTGCGGTATGGTGGTATGATCCTCAGGTTTAGAAGACGTGTGTTAAGCATTTATTGGCGATGTAAAATGTTGATAGTCACGTTATGAATAGTTGCAATAGCGGCATAAAAATACTGCATACGAAGTTTATGAAATCACAATGGCCAGTGACATTTCAACTTATATTTATCTATATTACAGAACGTGGACTCAAAATTTCCTGAACGAAAAACATCAAAGGTTACATTTAGACATCCGTCCTCAATGGACAGAATAAAAGTGATGTTTATTCTTATTAAATGTCAGTACACATTCAGCAGCAATCACCTGTAATTACTTTGATGAATGAGCTATTGTATTGCTATAATCTCTACTCGCCTTCTTGACAAGCGGTGCAATGAAAGACGATGTTTGAAAGGAATGCAAGAACTGTCACCAGAGACAAAGTCACATTCATCGCAAAGATGACACCTCAAATCGCATCTTTCGCGTGTGGTATAAGCCCTGGTAACGCTGATTGTGTATTGGTGAATTGCGTGTACAATCATTATGTTTGAAAACTATGGTTATATTGCCCTTTGTCATCGTTAATATGAGATCGACAAAGTGTGTGTGTGAATACCAATCTATACGAATGTGATTTAGTCACATTTGTCAGCCCCGTGAAGATCCGGGTTGTCTTCAGCAACCCATGCGTGTCTTAATAGGCGAATAACGGTATCGGATGGCCTGCACGCTGATGGATATCATCGTATCCCAATTGCATAGGCGTCCGCCCCGAGGGCGGAAGGTCCGGGGTTCGATCCCCGGCCGCGTCATACCAAAAAGATGGTACTTGTTGTTACCCTGTCTGGCGCTCGGCATTAAGGGGCTTAAACAAGGACTGGTCGGCTCGGAGTCAGTATACTGTATCTGAGTGGGGTATTCATGTTAGACTGCGGCATGGTATCTCAGTGGGCTAGCACTATAAATTTGCATGAGTCCGGATTAGTACAAGCAGCCACACACACACGTGCATGCACGTCGCTATATAAGTGCAATAATCTTGGACGCGACGTTAAACCCCATTTCACCTCACCTCACCAATTGCATAGATCGATGTTCGTGCTGTCAGTCACTGGTCATGGAGTATCTTGTCCAGACTCGACGATTTACAGACTGCCGCCATACAGCTGGAATATTGTTGAGTGCGACAATGAACAACCAACAAACAAACAGATTTGTCAAGTAGTGCCTTCACAAGGTTGTATAACACCGGAATGTATATTCCATACCAGAGAAACATAGGGGGTGTAGAGTCAGGGTAATTGGCGGTCCCAGCACGTTTGATTACAATCTCATTAAAATCATATCTCAGTTAACAAAGATCTGAGGACATCCCATTGCGTATCACGTCAGAACGACCTTTCATCCGACCAATCAAAGCGTCGCTTACCAGCTCGGGAAAGTGACAGTCGAAATGTGTTTTCTGATCATGCAACCCCAGTTACGGGCTGTTCGACTGATTCCGTCGATATCATCGTCTGTCTCTATCTCCAATCGGATACAAAATTGAACGAAAGAGACATTGCAACCCGCGGGAAGCTCATACAATCTCTGCCATTTATTGGACATTCCAGAATTTACTTTTGCTTAGTTTTTTTAATATTTGGAATAGATATTTATCAACGCGTAGTATTGAATGGAAGTCGCCAGTTTGAACAAGTGCCGTAAAACTCGAGAAAGCTGCTTTCTGGTTGGTTAATGTCGGCTTCTTGCTTGTTATTTTATTGGTCGATCAAAGTTTGCTAAAGGTCGTTCTGCCGTGACCTGCAATGGGATGTCCTCAGATCTTTGTTTAGCGGTGGCGAGTATTGAGATCTGATTTTAATGAGATTGGTTTGATTAGAGCTATGCCAATACAAATATGCGCGTGTATATTAATCCTTCTCTTACACAAGGGAAATGTATCAGTTTCATACATAGCTGGTCGTGGAGTGAGTGAGTTGTGTTTTTCGCCGCTTTGAACAGTTTTCAGGTTATATCACGGCGTATCAGCTTGATGTGGGAGGAAAGCCCGAATTGATGCAGGGCCCAGACGTTTACCTAATTTGTGAAACCTGCGAGCACGGATGTTGTGCTGACAAACTTAGAAAGAGGAACATAATCGGCGTCCCGGGACTGCTGCTGGAACAAACTCGATGAATAGATGGATCATTTTACAAACTTACGGAAACGGGTTTTGTTGTACGTTTGTTTTCGTAATGACCCCAATTCCACTGAAGTTGTAGTTTTTTCGAACAATTCTCTCATCACATGAATGATAGTATCTCAAAAAGAAAGTAAGCAACCCAATTACTGTCTCGCATTAAAGATACGGCGTAGTTATGTTCCAGTAAGCCTTCTAATGAGGTCGTAGAAAATAGCTTTCTTACTTCTACCTTCTTAACACCGAGAGAAAAACTGGTTATATTGTACTTTGAAATCAAACACTGTTTCGGGAAGAAAACTAGTTTACAATTGCAGGATGGTGAACAATGGTTGACGTATATAGTTTATCTTTTAGGTAAAGAATGCCAAACAATACCATACGCGTGATATCAATGAACTTATTTCCGTTTCCGAGTCCGTGTTTGAGATTTTGAAAGGAAGAGAAATTTGCCAACGATGCTGATGTTTCTATCGTTGACACGTTGAGATAGCGGCAAGTCTGGTATTCCACAATCTCACCGCGTTGAGAAACATGGTATGTTCAGTGAATCCCCTTGTCTCGCGATGCTATGAAATATTACGCTATTTCTACTAACAAGAATAGCGTAAGGTGATAGCCCTGTTGCTTATCATTGATTGATTCGTCCGCAGAATGTTTGTTTAGAGTTATGTGGGTTTCTATTGAAACTTTAACGTTTTTCTCCGTCTATATACATACACAATATAGATCTACCTCTTGTTTCAAGGTTACCAAGCTTTAGGCAACATAGAAACGCTTTATTAGTGTTATGGATAATGAAAAAAGTAGTCACGTATGATGGACCGCCGTCATATAGCTGGAATATTGCTGTGTGTGGCGTTGAACGACAAACAAACAAACGTATTGTGGTGATAATTGGATCGATTACAGATGAAGTTAGGATCATCACTGACACCGAGAGTGTAGTTTCACGAAGGGCCTACGAACACTGGCTGTCAATGAGAGAATTGTTTTAACCACCCACTGAAATTGTGCAGTGTGTGCGCATTTTGATACATCTTCACAATAAAAACCACAAGAAATCATTTTGGGGTATTTTCGGATCTATATGCCAATGTGTACAGAAGCGGAGAACGGGATATTTACTGTCATTGTTGAAACATAGATCGACTTAAAAATATATAATTTCCCTGACACGTGCTTATATCTAATGAACCTGTGGAATACTAAAGATTGTAGTTCAATAATGAGGGTCTACCTTCTTCCTATCCTTATGATGCTACACCTGGGACCCGTTCCATAAAATGACCTTAGCTCTATGTCTTTGTTAAAGTATGGGATTTACGATCGTCACAGCGCTAAGATCGCTTTGTGGAACGGGGCCCCGTTTTGCAAGCAAAGTTCCCATAGGTACTCGGTTCGTAGATACCGACTTTTTACAATCTGTTTAGAGTTGTTGTTTTTTTAACAAGGAGGAACAGATACCGAATAACAAATACGTGTTTTGCCTTGCGGTGTGTAACCTGTTATAGTATTTCGGTGTTTTCCGAAGCAGGCTACGACTAAAGGAAACCTAAACCAAAAGTGACTTGCATATCTTACGGGTGTGATTGATTGACAGGTGCACGTGAACAACGACAACACCAAGACGTACGCCCTGAAGATTCTGAAGAAACACCACATCGTCGAGACTCGCCAACAGGAACATATCATGAACGAGAAACGCATCATGATGGAAGCAAGATCCGACTTCATTGTCAGGTAGGTACAGTCCGGATGGGACGCCACGTCTGATGTTAAGGATGATGGTCATATGAATAACGAAGTTAGGATAGAGATACTTCAACTCACTAAGGTTCGTTACGGTTTGAGGACGTGGATTCCAAAATGTTCAGCAATGTTTAGGTTTCTGGATAAATATTTTGCAGCCCCGTGAAATGAGATCGCATTACGGTTTTGTCGGAATTTGACTGTCGTCTTGGATTTTCAAATACCACTACACAAAGTTTATTGACATGGTGCTGGGGAATTATTTGGTACCTCATGAAAAGGTTAAGGTCAGGCGATAGAAACAACTCACATAAGTTCACGGTTACACCTTCTGAATATAGTATGTATCTTACATAGTACGATACACCTTAGCTATGATACATCTTTGTCAGTTTCTGAGGCATGGTTACCTCTGCCATTCATACTTACCTGTTTCATAACAAATACAACCGCCTGAAATGTTGGCGGCATGTCTATCAAAGGTCAAGGTCATCTTTGACGTTAATGTGAAACATGGTTGTCAGTGGCTCTGACGTTAATGTGATTCATGAACAGTCAGTTGTGCACCTTTAGGTTTGAGGTTAAGATATTAAGAAGTATCGCCACGTTCTAGATATGGCCATGAAGACCAATGTTATAGGTTAGAAACGGGGCACTTGATGCTGTGATAATTTGACATCAGATCGGTGACACCAAGGTCGCAGTATACTACTTTCTTCAGTGTGACATAATTTCAAGCAGCGTTGGATCGATATAGATATCGGTATCATATATCCGCTGCCCCACATGGGTTTAAGCTTTGCAATAAACTAAAATACTAATATTTCAATTACAGCTAATGTTGAAAAGTTCATTTGTATAATGCCCGTCCAATACGACATGTGTTCATATTACACATAGAAGACAAATAAATGTCGTTGACATTCGTATGCTTATGTTCTTGCTTTCTCATCTTTCAGATTGTATAGAACATTCAAAGACAGAAAGTTTTTGTATATGTTGCTGGAGGCCTGCTTAGGGGGAGAATTGTGGACGGTTTTACGAGACAAGTAAGTTTTCACATAACGAATAGGACTAAAATTTCAAAGTATAAAATCGAGTTTTTAAGCCATACTGAGTGAAATGGCGAACACAAATGTAGGGGAACAAACCGCTTTGGCTTCGTCTTATCTCGTCAGCTTCATACGCTGAAAAGTCGGATATGGCACCAGAACATTTAAATGTCTCAGTGGGAATTAACGCAACTGTTAATGTGCGATATGAAATTCCCCCCTACCAAATTAGAAGTGACTGTAAGAGTTCATTTGACAAATGAATTGTGATGTGTGGTATGTTAATGTTTATCATCTTGAAATACTGACAGAAGTGACTGTTGTATTTTCTTTAGTCTCGAACTCTAAGACTGAATAAAATACGATGTCAAACGTCTGTTGTAACCCTGATAAAGATAAAGACCCGAGTTGAAAAAAATGTTTGGAATGCAGAAATTGTCAGGATCTATGGAAAACATGAAAAATAAATTAAGCATGGTATACCAATTCTTTACGAAAAGCTGATACGAATAACGCGCCTAGACCCGTCAAGTCATGTGTGCATTATCTCCGTCTTACAGGGCACCGTTTATCACCGAACATTCAACGGTTAATTGCGGTTTAAAAGCAAATCCAAAGTGTTTATTTTCAGCCCTAGCTTCATCCATTTCGGAATTGAGCAGATTATATCTGCTTTGGGGCGTTTATTTCATGCGAATGAATACGAGCAGGTTAGAATACAATTCACAACAATCAGTGCACGTTAAAAGGTACATGGAGTTTGTTTTGAGATTTTGTCCGCCATTTGGTATACAAACAAAATCACGGACTTCACATAAAGTCATTGGGTTAAAACCATTCATCATTATTAACTGAAATTTATTTGCTCAAATTGAGTTTGATAAATGTCTTTTTCAAAAACAAGTGCTCATGATATTGTCGGAACCGTACAATCGACAATGCATTTAGCAGAGATTTCCTATGAAAAGGGTTTTGTCGCTTATAATATTTTAATATAAACAATGCAGCCAAGAGGGTTTGGGTGATCCTGGCACAGTCAAGCTGGTTAGGCTCATCATCAGCTCAGGGCCCTTGCCCCCTCTACACGCAACCCAGATAGCGAATGGGACTTCTCCCAGGAAGCTCTGCTTAGTCAAATCCACCCAGAACTTTTTCGGAGAAAGTGAAGACTCCCCAACCCTGAAGCCTTCCGCTTCACCCAGATTGTCAGAAGGGCTGTGTTCCGGGGAACAAACACAGGTACTCTCCCAATGTCAGTCAACAGATTGGGAGGTACCAAACCTAAGGCACCGAGAACAATGGGGAGTCGGACAACTTGGCACATGCTTTTCCTGAATCTTGTCAATCATATTTGTGTCAAAAGGGATAATGATATAAATTATTTCATTGATTTATCAAAAAAGACAAGACCAGGTTTGTTGGCCTGGATAGGTCTGAGGCTGTATACGGGCGTATTCCAAAGAATTTTGTATTTATTATTTTCCATGACGCCCTCTACATATTTTGGGTCGTACCATGGATGGACCTCTGTGTCAAAACCACAATCATAGCTATTTTTAATTACTACTATTAATGGCCATCGGCCTTAAAATTTGTGGTTATAAATAACAACCATTGGCTTTGACGGTAATCATCGGCCCATACTACATAGATAAGACGAACGCACACGAAATGAGGCAATGATACATTCTAAATGTCACCATAGACGTTTCTATAGTTTGAAATTGATGTCTCCTCGTAATTTCGTAGAAGTGATAATATTGACGATGGTATTTTAAGAATACACTTAATCAGTACCTTAACGGTGTCAGCAGCCTGCCAATTACTAATGTCTGAACTAAGTACCTTGGCTCGTGTTCGTAACTACTTCAGTTTTACTGGCAAGATAGATCTACTATTCCAAGCTGCCCAAGCAAGGATAGTTAGTTAATGACACGTTTATGTAATGCACCTGCCATATAAATGTGAGCGTATATACACTTCACATGTAAGTTACTGTCAATCACCACTGAAACTGACAAGGTTGTTTATTTTCATAGATGTACATTTCCGATTGCTTGGAAAATTGTTGTAGAAGATATGTTGTTCTTCGACTTGGAAGCACTTGCCGAAGACATCACTTCGGAGGGGCTTGTTTGTTAAGTGAACCGTGTTTTTGTAAAGTTGTTATTTTAAGAAAGACGTGGCCAAGGTTTTTACTCTTCATTTCAAAGTATTTTTCAAAACACGTGCTTTATCTTTTAATGACGGGGTTCGGAAAGAAAGCTGGGGACGTTTCATTAAGTACTTCATCAGATTAGCCTCGAACACAACAACAGGTCGTCAAAGAAGTGTTTACCGAAAACGCAAAGAGGCGAGCAAAAACGAGTTATCTGCCCTAAAGCTATTAAGGTGTCCCAGTGTTACCATGAATCGATTAAGTGATACTCTTCTTAGGTGAAATGGGGTTTAACGTCGCGTCCAAATTTTTACACTTTTATAGGGACGTGCATGTACGTGTGTGTCTGTGTGTGGCTGCTTGTACCAGTCCAGACTAATGCCGATTTTGTAGTGCTAGCCCACTAAGTTACCATGCTTCAGTTTAACATGAATACCCCGACCAGTCCTTGTTCTAGCCCCTTAATGCCTAGCTCCAGACAGGGTAACAACAAGTTCCATCATTTGGTGTGACGCGGCCGGGGATCGAATCTCGGACCTTCCGCACTCCGGGCGGACGCTCCACCACTAGACCACGTTGACGGTCCACCCCTTTAAGAGGAAGGGCGGTGGGGTAGTCAAGTGGTTAAAGCTTTCGCTCGTCACGCCGAAGACCCGGGTTCGATTTCCCACATAGTAACAATGAGTGAAGCCCATTTCCGGAGGCTCCCGCCCTAATATTGCTGGAAAATTGCTAAAAACGGCGTGAAATTATACTGACTAACTCTTTTTAGAGGCTATTCAGAAACATGCAGTGACGTCAGTGAAATGGCATATTGCGGATCACGGATAATTTCATCGTCCACGATGCAATGTACTTTCACATATGGCTACTTTCTAAAGTAATCCCACTGATGTGGATTAGTTGGATAATAACAGAAGATACATGTTACATATGTGGTCTTTGTTGTGTGATCACAAGTTTGTCTTCATGATGTGCACGTGAGCTCGACCGCTGAAGTAAATATAGAATTTCGCAAACAATTTTCAGACTGGAATGAAAAAAAACACGACTGCATCATACATATACATCTTAATGCATTGTACTATATTGCATAAATTATTATCGTGCATATAACTGTTACTTATTTCGTAAGCTATGACGTTCAATCATTTCAAAACCAACTATTTGTCATCACAGAGCTTCGTTCGACGACAACACGACTCGCTTCTATACCGCCTGTGTCGTGGAGGCCTTCTCCTATCTCCACAGTCGCGGCATCGTCTACAGGGATCTGAAGCCAGAGAACTTGTTACTTGATGGCGAGGGATATGTCAAACTGGTGAGTAATAAAGCATAGTAATGATTATGAAGGAGAGAAAATGTTTCTACATTGTGCTTCCAACACTCGGTTTGGTTCGACACACTGTACAACACACGAACTCAAAATACGTGTACATGTCCCTCGGCTTTGGTCCATCCGTCAGTTAAATACAACGCTGCATCCGTTGGGCCCACCTGCACAAAGCTATCCTAGTGATACGACTATCGTAAGTCTATGTGAAAGTTTGAGAGTTACGATCATCTTCGCGCAAAGATCGCTTTGTGCAAGAGGGCCTGGTGCCATCGTTGTTTACTTTATTATATTTTGTGAATATATTATCTTGAATTTCCATTTTTTAATAATATTGTTGAATAATGAATTCTTCTTTTAAGATCTGTTAGTGGTATTACTGTTTCATCTGTTCGCATATGTTGTATACGTAAAAATATTTTCAACTCGGCCATAATATGTGATCACACTATATGAAGATAGAACAAGATTTCATTTTTTTGTACATGGTCCAATTTCAGCAGAGTCAGTTTGTGCTGCTGGAGGACAACACCCCTTGTCCGCTCACATTAGTCAGTCCAGACAAATGATTAGCCAGATCCTGGTGTTGTCATCCTACTCACAGGATCCGTTGACTTGGGCGATAATTATACTTTATCAGCCAAAGTGGTTTAACTGACACTGAGCTGACACAGCACGATATATCTGACATACTGTTCAAAGCGGCGTTAAAACCAACTCACTGACTCATTAAGATGCTCTGACAAATGACAAAGACGGCTTCATTCACTCACTCACTGTAGATGTTATGAGTTACGTAATTCCTGCTAAGTACGTAAGTAAGTACGTTCTTGTTTCATGACCGTGTAGAATTTATTACGTGAGAATACATACACTTCTGTGTGTCATTTGTAACGCATAACCCCGCTCCGCTTCTTTAATCAGACAAGAACCCATTTGCCGCTGTCGTTAGTAGTTTCACATGCAGTATAACTATTTGTTTGAGTTGTTATTGGAATGATATGGATTAGTTTCCAAGTCATTCAGCAAACCAGCATCAACGCTACAAATACACCACCGTCTTATAGATCATGGTCCAGGCTCTCCCATCCTGCTACGCGAAGCACTTAGGATACGATGCACATACAGAATGGAAAAGCGTGTTTTTTTAAGACTGGCATTAGGGCCCAATTTCGCTTGGCTTGTTCCATTATGCCCTGCACTCAAGCGGCGATCAGGCGAATGATTTACTGTAAACGTTTGCATTTACTTCTGTCAGGCTTACGTGCTGAAACTTAAGCAGTCGCTGTTAAAAAGTGTTTGCTTGTTTCCTTGTTATCGAACCTTGATGACGAGTGTACCTTTTCACCCCTGGTTCAACTTTCTCACCTGCTAAAAATCAAATAAGAAAAAGCCAAATTTCTATTTTGGTAATGGTGATTTGTAAAACATTATATTATTTTGAAGTTGAAATTTCGATTTATCAAGGTTAATGTATATTCATACAGACAAAAGAGACAGAAACATTTCCATAATGCTGGGAAATCTATGCTAAAATCCATTGAACGATTCCGACTATATCATAAGAATGTGTTTATTAATCACTATGAAATAGTCATACCAGGTGTTCGCGATGAGGTGAGTTCAACCTGAGTCACCATTGGCACCCGTCACAAACACATGCAAAGGCAGATCAACTGTTTACCTGAAAAAACACCGGAACATATGGTAAAAGACCTGTAGGGAAAACATGTCCTGACCCACAGGTCTAACAAGTTTTGCAAGCTCTAGTTCATCCAAGTTTCCTTACACTCTGACTTATGTCTGTGGTCCATTAAGCGTATTCTTCTTAAATAAACAACCTTCGTCATCTTGCTCAGACTCTGCAGTAGGTTCCTCTTCCTTTGCTGACCAATACAGTTAACACACATGGAGCTTTATCTCATGAAACGCGAGCTAAATGTGGGAGGAAAGCCCGAAGTGATGCAGGTCTTAGACGTTTACGACGTTGGTGAAACCCTATAGGACGGTTATGGTGCTGACAAACCTAGAAACATTATCTGGGCGAACCGGGATTCGAACCCACGATCATATGTTTCTGGCGTGGCGAAGGGACGCAACTCTGCAAAGGGAATTGCGGCGCCGAAGACGACTGGGCCACCCGTGCCCGAGCAAGCATGAAGACCATCATACCCCTTACCCGTTAAATATGTTGTGTGTCTGTTTCATACTGTTTCCGTTACAACACTTTCGCGATAACATAACAGCTTATTTATCAATTTGACATTTCTGGTTAATATAACCTCTTAATTATATGTCCTTGACCCGTGCCAAAACCACTCCACTACCGTACCCCCCGTGAGATAATTCCTTCTCCAATCTATTAAAAGTTCACCTGGTCAACTCATTCATTCTACAAGCTGTCCATCGGTCAAGGGCTGCAAACTGCCTCAGCGGTGAAGAATCTTGACCATTATGAAACCGACACAAGTACTTGACCAGCTGACTGTGATAAGTCACGTCATGTCACGTCATTAATACTAACGCGGCACTGACAGATGCATGAGGGAAGAACCCTCAAAATATTATTTTCATTAACCTGTTTTCACGTGCTTTGCAGCGGGATGTCGAGTCTCGCGTAGCAACGGCTTCGCGTTATATGCCTTTCAAATAATATAGTGGAAATATGTTTAATTGGATCTTAGTTTGGGGACAACTGTATTATGCAAAAGGAATTCGCTCAAGGAGGCGAAATGAAAGAAGGAATATTTACACGAATACCATGAACCTTCATATATTCAAAAGTGAGTGAGTTAGTGGCAAAGTTAGGGATGGGACACCAAGCTACAGACTTTTCAACTCATTGTATGTTGGCATTTTCGAGCCTACCAAGTGTCACGTATAAGGACGGTCGATATGGCAAGCAATTCTTTTATTATACAATGTCGGCCCAGAGACCATATACCGATAAAATAGAGTCTCTGGTTGGACGTTGTAGCAGGACTAAAACGAAAACTGTTTTAAAAAATGAATACATTGATCCAACCCATATGGCCATGGGAAGGACCCACTAAACCTTGACCAGAGAGCACGTGGAAGCATGGCCTTGCCGACATGCCTGGCATACTTTGCGTTAATTATGGTGAACACCTCCTCGGCAGTTGCCGGCCTCTCCTCCAGGATTGCCAGCTCTGTCATCATATGACGTCCATTATTAACTTGCCGACGGGAGCTCCGTGCTGTCTTCACAATATGCTTGGTAGCATGAGCAAAGAAAGCATTTGTCAGTTGACTGTGGCGTTGCGGGTGATGAAGCGGCGTTAAGGTAGTCTCCACTTATCAGATGCTGGCTTATTGAAATACGTTTCTGTCAGGCAGAATAGATGATGGTTAGGTAATATAATCATTCCCGACTTTATTATATGATGAAGTGTGTGGGTGTGGTGTTGTCTTGTATGGGGGCGGTGTTAAAGCGTTCGCTCGTCACGCCGAAGGCGCGGGTTCGATTCTCCACACTGGTACAATGTGTGAAGCCTATTGCTGTTGTTGTCTGCCGTGATATTGCTGTAATATAACTAAAAGCGATGTGAAGCCATATTCACTCACCCACCCACTCACTATCTTTGTGTGGCAATGTAAATTGGACGCATATTTTCATATGACTCGAGTCTAGATCGTAGATAAGTGTCGCTTTTATTGCATACAGATCAAGCGAGAAGGAATGTGTGAAAACATTGTGTGTACGACTCATTTATCAATTAACTGGGATACTTCAACGGTACGTGAACTCATCTGGAGGAAGAGTGAGTGAGTGAGTATGGTTTTACGCCGCTTTTAGCAATATTCCAGCAATATCACGGCGGGGTACACCAGAAATGGGCTTCACACATTGTACCCATGTCGGGAATCGAACCCGGGTCTTCGGCGTGACGAGCTAACGCTTTAACCACTAGGCTACCCGACCGCCCCTCTGGAGGAAGAAGAACCTATAGAATAATTCACCAAACTTGAGATAAACCAGTCACAATAGTAATGAAGTTGTAACGATGTTTTACTAAATATTCATGATACCAAACCAAGACGTCATTTTCTGAAGTTGTATGGTGTGTCGATTTTGCAATATCTGTGTCATAACTTACCTTGATATCATGATACAACCAGGCGTTCCAGAGAAACGTCCTAAGGCTGTGATCCCGCCTATCCCTGCATGATGTCCTGATAACCTAATGTTTACCGACTGCGTTGGCATCTACTATCTACGTCCCTTCATCACAAGCACATGGTCTTCGTCAGCGTTATCCCAACAAGTGTTCTTGTTGATGGTATCCATAATTGTCGTTATTGCCCTAATTCTGAAGACAGAACACGTTGTATGAGAGATATATAGTTGCGTGCTTGCTCCGGTAACCTCGTTATCGTTCCCAATTCCCAGGTCTTTAATGGACATCCTCCGGTTGGGATTCCAGGGCAAAGTAGGTACCCCAGTCCCTGATGAGTATTGTGGTATGAGCCGACGACTAAAATGAGGATCAGATGGTTACAATGTGTAACGACGTAGATAGTGCGCCGCTTCAACCCCTCCGCGTAAGCTCGTGCTGTCAACCATTTGTTTACTTTTCCCTGTTCCGATTATATACAGGCCAACGTGATATAGCTCGAATGGTGGTGACTGTGGCGTAAGACATTTCTAACAATTCTGCTATTACCCACACAATCTTCTTGTCACATACATCGACTCATACACTCGTAAAGCCTCACTTTTTGTCAGTTAGTGAGTATGAATTTCGCGGCTTTTAGCAATATTCCAGCAATATCACGGACGGGGACACCTCCAACACACACACACACACACACACACACACACACACACACACACACACACACACACATTTACTCACACGCACGCACACATACATATTTTTGTGACTTACATTCTGTTTCTAATGTTCTTTTGTTTTGCTTCGCTTCTCTCGCCTTCTATGTTATTGGAGGATGCGAAATAGTTTATCTACTGCCCATATGTGAAGCATATGTCAGCGGGAATCGTTAATCACCACGGCCCCTGCTGCCTACTGCTGTTCATTTAAGGTGACTGATTACAAGAGGCTGTCGAATGATCATGACCGTTCATTTGGTAGACGAAAGACTAAGTACATCCACCGTTCTAGGTGGTCGAGCTTCGATCGCGGCCTAGCTTTATGTGTGTACTACCTTAACTTTTAGCATGCGTTGATCGATTTTATTCCTTTTTTCGCAAAAGTTTCATTTTACATTCCAATTTTTGAAATTAACCTTTTCTACCCCATAAAAAGCAATTTAACTCCTTTGCCGACCCCAGGTTTTCATATCCAGCTTATCTGCAAACAAAACCGACAGTGTTTAAACTATCGTCTTTGACACTAGTTTTTTTGTAGGGGAAGTTACATATTCTATCATAAATGTCGTTCAAAAGACACCTACACCGCAGATGACAATGTGATGGCTTCTATGAGTTGGTAATGTGACTGTAAACGTTACGTATCCCAAGTTACTACGGTTATAATGAACTCAACGGGACCACTGATTTTAGTTCGATATAACCGTAGTTCGTTATAAGCATATATACGATATATATAGGCAAATGTCCGGTACCAAAAATATGTTCGTTATATCCGTCAGTTCGTTCGTGATAAACGTAGTTTACTGTGTGTGGACATGTTTTAATTGGACAATGTTCCTGCAGTAGAACATATACAATTGGTGTGACAAAGGAACGCTTTAACCGCGAGGCAATATCGTCGCCCCTTTATCCCTGAGCTGAAGTCATGACCCCGGTTCGTATAAGACTCTCACTTTCGGATGGTATCTCTCGGCTACACACTTCATTAGATTTCTTGGGTTTATCTGTGGAGAGATAACCTGACATCGGGAGACTAGGGTCGAAACAAGAGTAGTGAGATTCTCCACTCTGAGTTAACCCTTTCCTCACAGAAGGCATTTTGAACAGTTTTAATTATTATACACTCTGCATGAACTCAACCTGTGTATGTGAATGGGCCGCGTTCAGTTAAAACTCTGGTAGGAGGCGTAGTTAAACAGTGTAGCCTAGAACATCGGGGACAATACGGGAATTCATTATCGATCGCAGATCGTGGAATAGTTACGTCTTGTTACATGTATTGTACACGTGGTTCGCCCATATAATTGTGACTAATTGCTCACCAGTACTTCTCCTGTGATGTGCAGTCTTTTTCAAAGAACGAAACACATGTCTGGTGCAGCTACCTTCAAGGGTATCTTCGAACGAAAACATTCTCGAACGCACTTTAACTAGAACGTATGTATTTCTTCCGCTTTCCAGGTTGACTTCGGATTCGCTAAAAGGGTTGGCCATGGCAGGAAGACGTGGACATTCTGTGGAACGCCGGAATACGTTGCCCCGGAGATCATCCTCAACAAGGGCCACGACATCTCAGCCGACTACTGGTCGCTCGGCATCCTTATGTACGAACTACTTACCGGCAGGTACGTTACCACTAAGTAATGTTGAGTGAGCGAGTGAGTGAGTTGGGTTTGACGCCGCTTTTAACAATAATCCACCAATATCAAGGCGGGGGACACCAGAAATGGGCTTCACGCATCGTAACCGTATAGAGATCTAATACAGGATTTTTGAGTGAAGAGCAAACGCTTTAACCACAAGACAACCAAAACGCACCACTAAGTAAAGACATCAAACATATCAAATGAAAGTAAAACAATCGTGCAACGTGTTTAACATCATTGTAACACCACATTCAGCACACAATCAGATAAATATAACATTAACCCTCTGTAGGAACATACACAATATATTTATGACAATTTCAACAAAAAATGATTGATTCGGCCATAGTACGTATGTAACCCTGGAGCCAAGATCAGCGAGGTCCTATTCGCCGTGTACTGCGTAGTCTTGATAACGTAAGTCAGTATCGTCTCTTGTACGTATGATTAGGCGGTAGCCGCATTCCAGATCAGATTTTGTACTTATACGACTCAAAGAAGGCAAGGACCACGCGATTATTCCCTGCCATGGCAGATTAATTATTTTATAGTCATGTGAAAGAATCACGTGGTCATTTATTCTTATAGTTGTACATAACAGAAACGCAAGCCATTATCACATGCACCATACATTTGGATGACCATGTTAGGGAATACGTTTCACGTTGTTTATCTTCCCACTGGCAACGATCAAGTATTGTTTTGCAACCAAACGTGCTAAGACAACAACATATTAGAAAGATGGCCCATTACATAAAATGATTCAAATACTTATGAAACGATACATGACACAGCATGGAAAACTTCAGACCACCTGGTATATCCCGCGAGAGAGACATCAGCAGTCATCCATTCTTGGCGGCGTTAATGGATTCAGCGAGGCTGCCAAATAAGTATTTATCTGGCGCCTGTTTTCAACATACAATATTAATGGCAGCATGAGCGTCCTTCAGTCCACTCAATACAGTAACACGATGCTGTGTGTTGCCTCTTCCGCGTGATTAGTACTTGCCCATCCTAACCATTTGCACATTCTGTGGGTGACTTGTTCCTACCGTTTGTGGTTTATGTCCAGCAATAACAAATCTATACCCCGAGAAATTAGTGAAGCGACCCCTGGTTTTGCGACCATATTTGTCCAACAACAAGGTATTTTATGATTCGCGTCAAGTCTGAGCTGTGGTGAAGAATGAAATGTCTTGAGGAAGATGAGACTCACAGAGAATATTTTAATTGCAGTAATAACACAGTTGCGATAGTACTGTAATTGAGCAAACTTGATAAGCAGGAAACCATTGATCTGGGAGTGAGTGAGTGAGTGTGGTTTTACGCCGCTTTTAGCAATATTCCAGCAATATCACGGCGGGGGACACCAGAAATGGGCTTCACACATTGTACCCATGTCGGGAATCGAACCCGGGTCTTCGGCGTGACGAGCGAACGCTTTAACCACTAGTCTTCCCGACCGCCCCCATGGATCTGGGAAGCGGTAACTGCTGCCACTCCCGATGCAAAGCAGCCTCTAAAGCTGCCACGTTCTGTACTAGTGGATCCATTACCTGCAGTCGGCGTCCACGAATGCCGCAGACATGATCCAATGGATTCCAATGGTCCAGGCAAAATGTCAATAGCATGTTCTGGCTGAAATGCAGTCAAAGCACGAGAACGATGGGGTCTAGCATTGTCGTCCATAAACACAGTTCAAGTGTATGATTGTTAAATAGATTGAGAATGTCATGGTGTAACGATCGCCGTTGAGATATCCTTGTACTGTCACTATGTCCAGTTTATAGTCATGAGATATTTCTCCTCACCCTATCACGGAGCCTCACCACGCGGGACTGTTGCTGCAATGTTCCTAAGGGTATACGCAGTATCTCTGTGTCTCCAAACCCGCATTCTCCCTTCGGTGACGTGCAGCACGAATCTGCTTTCATCGGACCAATGGAGCCGTAGCCACGTCTTCAGATTCCGATGACGTCAAGCCATACACTAAACTAATCGAAGTCTCTGATGATGAGCAATTAACAAGGGACGTATGGTGACCCGTGACTTCAACCCAAATGATTTTAGCCAATTTCGGACAGTTCTGGTGACAGATGCCTGTTGGGAAGCCATTGTTATTCCAGAGCTTTACCCTTAGCAAAGGGTTGTCGCCTCACAAGACGTTCTAGAGCCCTGTATTCCCGTAGAGTTGTCTTTCGGGTGCCCATGGTCGTGGACGGTCCTTCAAGTGTCTGTCGGTGTCTTCTTACGAATCAGCTGACGGCAGTATGGTCGTAGCCACGTTGACGTCCAATGACTCTGTATGACATACCTGTGTCATGCATGCCAATAATTTGTCAACATGTGCGGATTAAACAATCGGATAATTACCACTTTATATACTCTTACGTGCATCAATATCAAAGTGCATTTCCTAAAACTCGATGGTAACATGCTACACGTTCGCATGTCGGTATGTTTGAGCGACATAGTCAGTCATTTTCATGAGATACTCGATATCGACAGCCATCCTATGAATGAGTATCATTACATGTGGATCTTTATGAAAGGGTGTATCGTTTGTTATCTTTATTTTATCAGGAGTGCTTAATTAATTTCTAGGGGCATATATAAAAGAGGCAAAAGCCTTTAGACAGTCACAAGAACTGTCTGCTAAAAGCAGAGTCGATTGTACGATTCCGACTGCATCATAACCATGTGTTTACGAATAACTATCAAATAGTGTTGATACCAGGTGTTCGGGGAAAGATGAGCGTATCTTACCGACGGCACCCGTCACAAACACATGCAAAGGCAACTCAAAAAGGAAGAGTTTACCATTGTAATAGCAAACCAGTTTTGTCCTCTCACAAACACAAACACACACACACACACACACACACACGCACACGCACGCACACATACACACACACGCACACTGATAATGACGCCGTATCATGTTTCGTATATCTACCAAACATGACACTGGCATACTTCATGAATATGTAGCCATCAAACCAATAGGGAATCAGCACCATTGCCTATACAGGAAGGGGGAAATAATTTGTCCCCACGAGCCAAATCCAACAGGTGATATGAAGAGTTTAAGCAGCCACCATTCATGATGAAAACACGCCAGGCATCCAAGTTACGTTCTGATATTTTCACTAGTTGTCAGTCCCTAACAGCTGACTAGGCTGACGCGTGGAAACTGTTTCCAGATTATATGGTGCCCGCGCTCGTACCAACCCAACCTCGCCGTCATTCGAGTTAACAATTTCATTCAACCACTTTGTACTTTAAACCCTAAGTGCGGACGTCCGTTGTAATAAGTGGATATTGGTGATAACACCAGCAGGGGTTGGCGGTGTTTAAATATAGTCAGGTTTGTGTGGTGCACACCTGTGCTGTTAGGGCCCTTTGAAGTGCTCGTTAGCATGTCATGGTTACGTGTTGGTTGTAAGAGGAAGTTCATGGTAGAAATGTGGTGCCTCGTTAGCAAGTGCGAATGAAGAAACCTGTCCTGTGATTGCATAATGTTTCCTCTGAGGGAAGAGTAAACCCATTTTTTAAAATAATTGAAAATTTCTCAAACGGTAACCACAACTTTGTATTCCACCGGTTCTTCTATCACGTACGTACTTGTGAGTTAAGAGGTGTACTTTAGCACATGTAATTTGAAGCCCCAACACCTCATGTAACCCTACGAAGGTACAATTTGGAAGTAGTTCGTAGTGTTACATGCCGTTCAGACACGTGTTCAGTCCTTACCTAGGTACAATTTGGAAGCAGTTCGCAGTGCTACATGTCGTTCAGACACGTGTTCAGTCCTTACCTATGTACAATTTGGAAGCAGTTCGCAGTGCTACATGTCGTTCAGACACGTGTTCAAGTCCTTACCTAGGTACAATTTGGAAGCAGTTCGCAGTGCTACATGTCGTTCAGACACGTGTTCAGTCCTTACTTAGGTACAATTTGGAAGCAGCTCGTAGTGTTACATGTCGTGTTGGGGCTTCAACTAAGTGTTTCCCACAGAACGCTGCAGTAACAGCTATGTACACTGACATCATAAATTGAGAACATGAAAATGAATTTCTAATTGGAAATACAATAGAATAATGTGCAGACTCTCAGACGAGGTTATATCCTCTACTGTATTAATCGAGTGTTCTTTATCTCTTAAGTTTAATTTGTTTTCTGTGGAAAAACAATTATCATTTTTTAATTCAGTACAAATCAAATCTGAGGAAGAAAGGATGTTGGCATCAGGAAGCTGACCTCGGCGTCAGTCCGCCATAACTGTCACAAATCGTTTAGTCATGAAAGCTAGACACAAGTATTTAGATTTAAAGTCAATTGATTGTGATTAAGAATCTCTCTCCTTTTCTTTCAGTCCCCCGTTTGCTGGCCCAGATCCGATGAAGACCTACAACCTCATCCTGAAAGGAATCGACGCCATAGACTTTCCAAGGAGAATCACCAAAAACGCTCAAAGTTTGATTAAAAAGCTATGCAGGTAATTGGGTGAAACCAGACATTTGTTTTGGCTATTAGTACTGCCATTGTACGCCTGATTGCTATCGGATCACTGTGTGGCACGGAGAGGAGCTAATGCAATGTAATGTTAGACTGATGACCTACAGTGGTCCTGTCTGGTCAAGCGGTCAGTGGTTATACGTTTCAACTGACCACCCAAAGTGGGGGCAGGCTGTCTGAGCCGAAAGTTGTGTCTGAATTAATTTCCTGCAAATTATCAGCTTGCTTAAGTTGAAAATCAATGCAACAGGTTATGATATTTGTGGGAAGTACATGGTAAAGTCATTTGATGCATCTGCCTCAGCATCACGGAAGTATGGTGTGTGATGACTTACGCAGAATGCTACCTTAGCTTTGATGCTTGTATGAATGTTACCCAGCTTTGAGAACCTTATTTTAGCGAGAACTAACAGTTAAGCATAACCAGTTTCGTATTTACAGGTAATACATTGGAATTCTACATTTCAATAAGTGACAAAGGTCAAAGGTTAGATCTGTCATTCATATCAACTGAAATATATATTGCATGATGTTGGAAATAGTTCTAAATTTTCTTGGCGTAAGATCGTTATCATATTACGTTTTCACTTTTTGAGTTTATTTGCAATTCCGTTCCGAAATGATGGAAGACGTTTTTTTATCTCATTATACCAAATACCGTTTGGCATTTCGACGCCACCAGGTACAGTATTGTGATAACAATTACCAGATTTCTCAGTCATCACTGGTTTACACGAGCATAATGAAATGTGCTTTTTTCCTAGCACCTGTTTCCTGATAATTGACATCCTATGAGCTTCTGCAGAGAACAAATATATAAAGAGTGTATCTCTCCTCCAACCGTAAAAAAATTAACCGTAAAACGCTTTCTTTCTCCGTGTCCCTGTTGAACTGAAGCATCCGAAATATCTCCACCAGCGATTTCAACTGACACCACTTGCGCCTTACGTTACGTTAACGGGGAATTTACAGTAACGTTACGCCTGAAATGAGCACAACGGACGTCAGTAAATTGTATCCGGGCCACTAAAAGTTTTTATTTCTTTCGACAGCACTCGAACATTAAGAATGTAATAGTATTATTACGTTGTCGGTATCCAACGAAATACAGGTGACCATTTTATGGTTTTAAACAGACCAGATGTCTTTGATCGGCATTTGTATTTCCGGTAACACAAGTAGCTTCCCTTGTGATGACCAAAACTGCTCTGGAATCATTTCTGAAAAATGTGATAGTTCGGTTGCTTTAAATTACCCCCGATCCTATTTTTGGCATCTTGCCATGCGCCACACATGGAGAGTTACTGTCAGTGTGGTGTTAAATTCCTCCTTTATAAACAGACAGTGTCAAGTGTTTGGGGTAATGCAACGGCAATGGAATTGTGTACACAGATACCTGGGCGTTATTGTAGTTAAGACAGGCGTTATCTTCAGTTGGAGGAATGTACCTCTATGGGTTGAAGAGCAATGGTGGTTTGATGTATGGTATAGACTATATTGTCTGAAAGAGAGAGTGCGTATTACGGGTGTGCGGGTGTGCGGGTGGTGGTGAGGGTACCTATTGCGGATGGCGGGGAGTCAGTTGTGTGGTCGACGTGAGCGTGAGGGTGTAGGTGGGAGTGCGTCTTGCAGAAGAAGGGGGGAGAGCCAGCCCTGTGGGTCTACTTGAGAGTGTTTGTTTTGTTTGTTGGTTGGTTAACGCCGCAATATTTCAGCTATTTGACGGCGGTCTAATTTATTGAGTCTGCGATATCGGTGAAAATGCGTATTGCGGATGTACATGAGATTGCGGATGTAGGTGAGAGCGGGTATTGCGGGTGTAGGTGAGAGCGGGTATTGCGGATGTAGGTGAGAGCGGGTATTGCGGGTGTAGGTGAGAGCGGGTATTGCGGATGTAGGTGAAAGTGCGTATAATCGGTGTACGGGAGGTTTTTTTTGTTTATTGCTACACTCAGCAATATTCCATCTGTATGACGGCGGTCTGTAAATAATCGTGTCTGAACCAGACAATCCAGTGAATGATCATGAGCGTCGATCTACGCAATTTTGATACGACATGCATCAACCAAGTCAGCGAGCCTGACTACCCGATCCCGATAGTCGGCTCTTACGACAAGCATAGTCGCCTTTTAGGGCAAGCATGGGTTGCTGAAGACCTATTCTACCCCGAATATTCACGGGTGGTGTACGGGAGAGAGCATATCGGATGTGTATGTGAGGTCGACCCTTACCTGGGACAGTTTTCAAATAATTACTAGTATATTCCCGAAAATTCTGAAAAGAATAATTAATGTTCCGGTTTGGACTGTTTGATGTTCATAAGAGAAATGGTGCCTGTTGAATGTCAGAGAGGTTTAGCTTCATGTATGTAACATTTATAGTTTACATGTATGTAAAATACATTTTGCTAGTCGTAAACAGACGTAAATAGCCTCACGAATATGTTGAAACCAGTGTTTGAAGTATGTATGAGCAAACAGTTGTTGTATGAAAAGATCAAATGTGACTTGCTTTATTTAAGAGCAAAACTAATTGCATGTAAGAAAATATACTTCTTATGTGTAAGTGCAAGCAATGCTGGTATGTCACATCGAGCAAATACCGCATGCATTGAAGAGAAAATATTTATGAAAGTGTGGCTAAAGTACAATGCTTGTATAGGGTTACTGATGGTACATTAGAATGCCTGCTTGTATTTGAAGCTGCAAACACCACGCTCGGAAAACCAGTGTTCCATACATGTGAGACTACTATTAGTAGCTGTCGTGACACAACAGCTGGTTCTAGGTAATATATTGCCTACTGTATGTAAAACCAATGTGTATATCTTGTACCTCGATCTACATCTCTTTCTCAAGGAGCATCTTGAATAGCAACTGCTTTCAAGATCAGTGTGAATACTGATTGCTATATTCCAGAGCAAAGATTACTCGTAGAAGAACGACATTGGCATCCTCGTTACTATAAAGCATAAATGATGTTCAGCCTCTCTTATATAGGAATTTATCAACGTAAAGGCACCAAAACAGCAACAAAGTACCGATAACACCTAGAAATAGGTCTTTATTTGAAATATACAGAGCTGCCCAGACGAAATTATCATAACTGTTACATTCATCCAATTTCGCTCATCATTACCCAACATATCCAGTTGTTTGATTCATATTTACGATGTGTATTCAAACTCAACTTTATTAATTTACATACAATGCATAAGATACTCCGCTGCAATATATGCTTCGCTAACATGACGTGCAGATGTTTCGCAGCACAGTGAATCAGGTTTATCACTCTGCATTAGGACCTAGTAATTGCATTCAACCTCTACCAACTACAGGTAATTACGTATCTATGTAAGTAACATGTAAACATTAGAGAGTGCAGGGAATCTCATTCTTAACCAATATATTATCGTACTTACGTAACAAGCTGATATAAAAATTAAATCTACAAGAGATATCCATATCGGACGTTAATGTAGCCTGTCTCATCAATATCAATATATCAAAACTGAGACTGCAACGAGCGTCGGTGAAAGCTCAAATAGTTAAGGAATATTTTGCTTGGAAGAAACTAAGCGTAGGTTCCTTGGATCACCTTGAAAAACCATCAGTCATTTTTGTACAGTAAGCCTTTTTGATGTTATATTGTACAACTTGGGTTTGGGGTGTTTTTGTGTTTTTTTGGGGGGAATGGGGGGATATACGTTCCAGTCATCCATATTCCAACGGCCTTTAGGGTTGCGAAAATGCACTCGTCATCATAGTTTTTCAGATCGAATTCGGATTTAACAAGAAATAAAGAAATGAAAATGTACATATATTTCTCTTCCTTTGTGATTGGCCAAGTCTTTGATCAAGGCTTTGATATTTAAAAAAGGGATTTACAAACAAGTTCACGTTTGTGTTTTTACTTCAGGGACAATCCCATGGAGAGACTCGGATTTGGTCGCAGTGGAATACGGGAGATTCAGAAACATGCGTGGTTCGAGAGTTTCAACTGGGACGGCCTCAGAAACAGGAACGTCAAACCACCCATCATCCCTTCGGTAAGCTGAGAAAGCCATGCTGCGATACGAGAACATCAGGCAAAGCGCTGAATTAACAATTTCTTGACTATGCTTAGTTTCTGGAAATGCGAGTGTGTGGAGTAGGTTTTGGCCTTGGTATGCTGTATTGCATACATGTCTGTCTGTTCAGTACTCATCCACAACACTGCCAAATTGTTATTACAAAAATTATCCAGGTTACAGATACAAGTTTGTCGTCTTTGTTGACATCCTATGGGTGATAATCCAGAGTATTATGTATCCATTATGTTGTGATAAATACCCAGGGCCCTTTCGCTACCATAGCTACCCCTCCTCCCCAATTACATTTGACCCTTATAGCATTGGCTCGTCCCAATGACGACCCAGACTCAATTCCCCACTTTCGTACAATGTGTGACGTTCTGTCTTTCCCCGTATGAGAATCACAAGCAGCCATTGTGACCAACCGGTTTTTATTGTATTCGTCTATTACAATAAATAAAGCGACAAAACCCTTTCCATGTCCAATAGAAATCTCTGCATAAAGCAGAGTCAATTGTACAATGACGAAACTTGAACAATGAAATTCGCATTTATATCCAGAAACCATATTCCGATATATGGTATCTGATGTATTGACATGGTTTTAAGCTGAAACTTTGCAATACTAGTACACGGGGCGTTTAAGAAGCAAATATGAATATTTAAGTTCTCCCTTCTTATTTCATTCTGACTCCCTTCTGACAATTCTTCCAGGTTAAGTCAGCCACTGATACGTCCAACTTTGACGACTACCCTGAAGACGAGGAGGAACCTCCACCAGACGATCTCACTGGCTGGGACAAAGAATTCTGAGACACGTGACCGGATATACCGTACCGGAAATGAAATTTGCAACGTCATCTGTGATAACCTGAGGACGTCAGGGCTTGCCATGCAACCGTCGTGCCTTGCCTTTCAATGATATACTTGGCCAGAGAAACGGGATATCTTTCATGGTTCCCTTTCCTTCTGTGGAGAGGTGGTTTTTACAAGCCAAGAAATGGATAGGGGGAACTTGAATCACATCAAAACTTTCCAAACTGTTTAAAACAAGATTCATCGGTCGACAGAGTACTTATAATATGTGTTGCAATTATGTGATCGGTTTTGTTGGGATAAGTGTGGGAAGTGTTTCCCGTGTTATGTCCTAAAGCAATAATGAAGTGCAGTCGGCAATTGTCAACGTTATGAGGTGAAGATGTTTGTCTTCCAGTTTCCGACGAAAACCTTCGGCGTTTTAAATCTTAATCATCGTTTCACGACATATCACTGCCGTCAGCCATTAATTCATAAAGGGGAGATAACTTTAATCTGGTTGCGTCACAATGAGGTGATTATCTCCCTCTACTGATGATAACATTCAGGTTTTATAACACTGGTGTTTGTCTGATTGATATTTTTGATTAATCGCCAGATGTGTATTATATGTTAATAGATTGTATTTATTTCCTTCACTGCAATTTCTGAAGACCGTGATAACTCTATCGGAAATATGCAGATATGGAATATTGGATTGTTCATGAGAGTGTTGAACATTATATGTCATATCATTTACTGTTGAGGTACACGAATCAGCCTTGTCATTCTAGGTTTGGTTCGGAATTTTTCCGATTTCTCCGTTAAAAAAGTTATGCTTATGTTATATGTCCAGTCATCTTGCCTTGTAGTTTGTTTTGAATCTTTCTGGCACAATGCAAACCACACACCAGACGGATCACATCAAATAACCATGCAACTAGACGAGATGTCTCTAACATGTGACTGGTGACATTGATGCTGTAGTGTTTACATGGACACATGTGCAGATATACTTGCCTGTATCATAGGGAAAGTCAGCCCAAGTTTCTGTAGTGTATTACAAATCATGCATTCCATGTGTGTGTATTTAACATACTATCATTCTCTATTTCACAGGAATATCCATGATATGGTATTCTCCATACCTTCAAATATTACAAAAAAACATCATGTCAGAGTAATTCGTTATGTAAATTTTTGTATGTGGGAAAGATCTATACTGTATTATCTAAAATAAATCTCGCTCGATTATCCAGCCAGTCTATATTCGCCTTTGGTTACTTGTTACGATACATGTATGTTTGTAATGAAAGTCTGGATAAACGAGGTGACACTATTGCACATTTTCAAATCATATCATGTTAAATGCGTTGAAATGTTTTGATACATTTTTAACCAAAGCCAAAGGTAATGGTTTCCATCACAGACAAATTATGTTCATAATTTGCTCCTCTCCCATCAATGGCAGAAATAATTCATGGTACAGGTCATCTTGCCAACCATTCGTGACCAACTCGTACCATTCCGGGACTTCTTGTTGTTTCACGGAAAGATGCGATTGGTGACGAATGCTTACAGATTTCATGGCATGTTGGTCATTCCAACTTAGGGTATGTTATATCTTTCATCATCAAAAGTTCATTTTACAAGATATTACTTTCTCGACTTTACCATCGGTACTTAAGTGAAGGGAGTATAGTCAACAAGGCCATATTCTTGTTCACACTCCATATAACTTTGCATCAGATGTGTGATGTCTGCCTACCACACACTTCCCATCATCACGCGAGTGAGTTGTTTGTGTGAAAGGGTGAATGTCACATGAATGGCGTCATACTATGTAATCTAACCTCTATAGGGCGCCTGGCACGGGTCTCAAGTGTCCGACAATGTCGATTGGTGAGGGATCTCGTGCACGGGTCAGCTGGAACAGGTGCCTTTTATTTGTCCTTCGTTGAAACTGTTTATTTTTCTCCGCAAGGGTATGTGAAAACTTGGACAATAAAGAATTCAAAGTTATGTCTTGAGTTTGTTGTTCCTGCCATATATAAAACTGCCTTTAGGATCTATTAGAAACCCCAAAGAAAAACCAACAGAGTTGTCTCCCCGGACAACTCTCCACTTCCGGCGCGTATAGGCTATACGAAACAAGACATGATGAATACGTAGCACTTGTTTGTGAATAACAACCACTTTATTCTTTTTGTTCACAAAAGGTTGGAATATTGTTCACAAATAACATCCTCACTACGATATTTTCTGGCAACAAACCAAAATTCTCTATACCAACATCAATCGCAGGAAAAAAAGGAAAATACAAGAAACTACTGAAATATAAAGGAAGAATCCAGCAATTCACATAGATCAATGCCAACTGACAATACACAAATATCATTTCTAAGTCTCTTGAAATAATATTTTGAAAATCCTTCTTAACATCATGATCATGAGAGGTAAAAAAAACTGAAGTTTAGTGCAACATGTAGTTTTCTTAATTTATTAAATTCATTGTTAATCACTTCAATCTTGCACTGCAAAAATTGTTATAAATATCATGGAATAGAATGTAGTCAAGCATTTTTCGAAATACACTTACAGTCGGGGAAATGCATTTTTCTCCTGTTGTTTTTTAGCCTGTGATGAGAAGTGTTTGCAAACTGCACAAACAGCAACATAATTTATTGAATACCTTGTTATCATAATTCAGTTAGTCACACTTTGGAATGTGAGGTGGTTGCAAACTGCACAAATAACAACGAACGTTAAAAACTTTGTCAAGCGGCCATACAATAGTACTGCTTATCTCATGTGACACGCCGAAAGGTAGACTAACATATAGTCTCTGAAATTAACATATTTTACAGAAAAAAATCAAACTTGACATGGTGAAACCTCGGTGATCGAGAACAATGCTTGAATTAACACCATTGGCTAGTGACTGGAGCGTATACGCGCCGGAAGTTATAATCGCCTAAAACACTGGTGCTTAGCGCCAGCGAATCAAAGGCAGATGAGTGTGTTTCTAATAGACCGTATAGTGACGACCATATTTTCAGCGTTACTTCTCGATGGACATTAATGTGACGAAGGCCTATTCTATAAATTTTGGTCAACTTGCCATCATCTATTTAGATGATTAATCAACCATGTACTGGAATGTAAAATGTTAAATAATAAAATAATTCTAAAATGATTGAAAAAATAAAAAATTATATAAAAAAAAAATTTAATGTGACGAAGGAAGACTTTCTGGGGCTTCCTGTGTGAAGTGAGTGAGTATAGTTTTACGCCGCTTTAGGAACATTCCAGGAATATCAGTGCCGGGGAACACCAGACTTCACACAATGTACCCATGTGGGGAAACGAACCCGGGCCTTCGGCGTGACGAGCGAACGCTTTAACCACTGGGTACCCCACCGCCCACTTGCATAAAAACCTCAAGTGATGAAAACCAAAATTGTGTTAGGAAACGGAGGTGTCCAGAATACAGGAATTTCAATGTATTCCACAAGGTTTACACGCAGCGAGTGAATGCAATGTAGCGGCCAGGTAATCTTGCGATTCATCAAGTTTGCAACGATGGCGCGGAGACGGTGGTTCGAAATATATGTATCACCTCGCTCTCAGATTCAGTAGATCACATCAGTAATCATTAGCAAGAAGCTGCCGAAATAGTATTAATGTTCCATTTCTGAAAATCGATGAATGTTTTATTGCTTAAAGAACACGAAGCCCCCCGATAGATTTCAGTGCTGCGTCTTGCGTTACACTGAAACACAGTTAGAAATACATAAAATGTTTATGTTTCCTGGGGCAAGTGACTTCGGTTTAAATGTGTCATCCAACAGGGTAATGTGAATTTCAAAATTTCACCTCGCAGACCAGTAGAAATTGACAGGAAAATAGTTAAACCCGGACATTTAATATAACAACCTATTTTCTTTAAAAACAACATTAGCTTTAGTGCAATTAAGCCAGGACAAAATACCAACCAAAATCAACCGTTGGTAAATGTGTTTTATGGGGCAATGAAAATGATGTTGAGAACTGCATTGAGCATAAGATCGTGTGAGTAAGTTGTCAAACTAGTAGTATGTCCTGTCATAACAACATCCAAGATGAAGGATGTTATGTCAAATTTATAGATAATCAATTGAAATTTCAAGTAAATATCTTAAAATTTCAACTTATAATCTTGAAATGTCAAGATCATTGTCTTGAAATGTCAACTTATGTATCTTGAAATTTCAACTTAGTATCTTGAAATATCAACATAACATCTTGAAATTTCAAGAAAAAAAATCAAATAGCCCTAAAATTATTTTAAGTAAATAGCCCTCAAAGGCTTCCATACTATAATGTGAAGTCATTATAAAAAAAACTATTTTATCACATTTTTTACAACAGTAATTTGCATTTTATTCAAGTGTCTACTCTCATATTTAATTTTGAGCTATATATCCCGAGAGTCATTTGTGGATGTTATGAAAGTTATTTCAAAATGTCTGTTTTTATGTGCGTATTTCAGATCACGTTGTACATGGTTACCATGGCAACGTAGCTTTCGGGACAATAACACACTGGTGAACGTTTGGACAATGTATGTCACGCTTATCCGGGAATCCAGTAGTTTGAATATTTTCTGGAAGATGATCAAGACTCATTTACAAGAGCCATGTCGACATATCAAAACAAACATCGCTACTTGAGGAAAATATTCAGAAACCCACTTCACTTACCCTTGATTCCAACTTTTGACAAATGCGTTACTGCTATCCTAGGATTGAAAATCGAAGTGGCCCGTAAGAACCGGGTTAGAATAGGTCTTCCGCAACCCATTCTACAAAGTGGTTTATTTTTGTCTCGGAACATGATACATTAAAAGACATGTCCAACGCCCAATCGAGTCTGGACCAGATCCTGTGATTGATATCATGAGCATCGATCTACGTAATTGGAATACGATGACATGCATCATCGGAGTCAGCGAGCCTGACCACCCGATCCTGTTAGTTGGCTCTTACGACAAGCATAGTCGCCTTTAACGGCAAGCATGGGTTGCTGAAGACCTATTCTACCCCGGATCTTTACGGGTCGACACGAGCAACCGGTAGAGATTATTGACATTATGTGAAGACGTCTAAAAATGTTTATTTCAACAACGCTGAAAAGTGTTGACGGGTCTCTAACGCCCATTTGGCGGCCATGGTAATCCCAAAGGTGTTCAGATCAGGTATTGGATTTTAAATCAGGTGGTGCTTAATTAACAATCGTATATATATGCCATGCAAGAATATTGATGCCTGAAACTGTAATACACATACTATAAACACGTACCTCACGCAGTAGCGCCACACTCTTGCGTACGGTGTCATTGCTGATTTTGACGCTTTTAAGGAAGATCCCTGTTGACCATTATTTATGTCAATCTTATTGATTCTGCTTATCATACAGTTGTGTTTTACATGTAATTGATTTCATTCGTTGTTTGTGTGTGAACTAGCGATGTGGCGTCTGTAACACGCTAAGTGTCTACCGGCTATTGACATGCTGGAAAGTGGCAGAAGTCAGCGTGCAGTGGCTATTACGTTCAATGTTTCTCAGTCTGTGATTAAAAATCGTCTACATGCTGCTCATCTCCATGCTCGATGGCCACGTGTTGTGCCGCCCCTTACAAGTCGACATATTGCCAAAAGACGCCAATGGTGTACACGACGTCGAAACTGGAGTCACATGATTTCAGATGAGTCCCGATTCACTTTGCACTTTCTTGACAGGCGTACAACTGAACGTCAAGCCAAAGTCAACCTAAGACCTCAACAGAGAAATGCGGGGCGGTGGGGTAGCCTAGATGTTAAAGCGTTCGTTTATCACGCTGAAGACGCGGCTTCGATTCCCCACATGGGCATAATGTGTGAAGCCCATTTCTGGTGGACCCCCGCTGGAATATTGTTAAAAGCGGCGTAAAGCCATACTCACTCACTCATGAGAGACTTAGCGGTGAATCGGTTATGTTGTGGTGTGTCATCACCACTCCATATTGTGCAAGGAAGGGTCACTGGACAGTACTATGGGGACAACATACTGACACCCTTTGTTGTCCCGTTTGCAAGGCGTGTGGGTCGACGTGTTGTCTTTCATGGCGACAACGCCCGTGCTCGCCGTGAACGAATCGTCTAAGCTCACCTCCAGCAGCACGACAGCCATAGAATACGCTAGCCAGCAATGAGCCCAGGCCTTCCCCCATAGAACACGTCTGGACATGATTGGGAGACGTGTGCGTCAACGTCATAAGCCGCCGGCCACGTTGGCTGAACTTGCAAGAGGAGGTTGACTCCCTCAAATCGCCAATGCGGAGATTCATACACGTATGCCTCGTCGAGTGAATGCATGTTTGACAAATCGTGACGGCATTAGGCACTACTGATCCAAAATTGTCACCTTAAAAATTCCCATCTTGATCCTACCGTCCTTCGAGATCGTTGGCGTCATTCGAGATCGTTGGCGTCATTCGAGATCGTTGGCGTCATTCGAGATCGTTGGCGTCATTCGAGATCGTTGGAGATCGTTGGCGTCCTTCGAGATCGTTGGCGTCCTTCGAGATCGTTGGCGTCATTCGAGATCGTTGGCGGTCATAACATCAACTGTCATACTTCACTACCGATTGTGATGTGTTCCCAATTCGTTCATTATAATCATTCAACTATTACTAGAAACTAATATCGCTTACAATTTTGGTTATTTCCGAGTATCCTCTACTACTGAAGAGTATGTGTTCTTGTTTGTTGTCTAACGACGCGCTTAGCAATATCCCCGCTATATGCGGGCGGAGAGTTGTACGGAACAAACATATGGTTCAATATCCGTCTTGGGTCGCGGATATTCTCATAGGTAGATTTTCTCCTGAAGTTCGTTCAGTGCCCGGACGACGTTATACCAAAAGACGTTAAAAGATGGTACTTGTTGTTACCCTGTCTGGTGATCGGCATTAAGGGGTTAAAACAAGGACTTGTCGGCTG